TCAATTACAATTTTAATAAAATACATTAACACGGAATAGAGAAACAATTTTGCGTGAACAGGCCAAAGAAAGCGATCAAAATTCAAAATGATTTTATGCACTAGTGTTAAGAATTGCGATTTAATGTAAGATCGGTGAAGTATTCTTATTGATTCGATTAATTAAAAACACAATTCTCTATTAATTGATAGTTCTTTGTACACAATGGTTTTATACACGATCACAGACCATGCAGACACTTGCTTTGTTTACGACAACAGGTGGCTGGTACACTAGTGACCTCGATAGGCACCGTGGGATTAGCGTGTTGGATTACATAACTATTACAAACATCTAGGCGAACGTGGAGATAAACTAAATGATCGTGAATTATTCAATTAATAAAGTTTAAAATTACTTATAATAAAAATTAATGTAGAAAGATAGATTTGATATATTCCGATGAAGACGTGTTCACTATAAAACTAATTAATAATATATAAAAAAGAAAGACCAATTGTTATAAAAAATTTAATAGTGAACCGTAAAGCATGTATAAAGACCTTTTTAGAAGAAATTTAACAGTAAATACCATAGGGTATATTATTGATAGGAAGTCTGTGTAAATTATACGCATGAAGAGGTCTGATTTCCTGTCCGAATAAAACGCAGCTAGGATAAGGCTGTCCGTAAAATATCAAACTGTTTTGATTGCAGTAACTTCTCTGAACTACCAAGATATGACGTCATAATAGAATATGACGTCAAGTCACTGCATACTTGAGTTGACATGACGGGGAAAGTGTCATAATTTGTACATGGCATGTAGAATTTATTTTGGGACCTTATTGTTTAATTCAAGTGTTAGGTACGGAAGCCCATTAGTGCCAACCTGTATATATAAAGGAAAAGCAATATATAAGAGCAAACCTCGATATATAAAGGAAATGCGATATATATAAAGCAAACCTCGATATATATAAAGGAAATGCAATATATATACACATGTATATAAACAAAACTTCGGTATATAAAGGAAATGCGATATATATAAACAAAACATCGATATATATAAAGAGAAATGCGATTTATATAAAGAGAAATGCGAAATATATAAACAAAACTTCGATATATTTAAAGAAAAATATTTCCACCGCCTGACCTTTAACATATTTAATGACCTTCATAAAAACAGAGATTTCGCCAACATATGATAAGCAGCTCCCGATCTAATGATTTGATTACGATCAGTTGGTGTGGCTGTTTCAGGATGGTATTCAATGTGTTGCTTTGTTTATTTTTGTATCTTGATAATTATGATGATTAAAACTGAAGTTAAAAAAACTTGTGTACCATTTACAGTGTGTTGATAAATTAAATTGAATTGATTTACATTTCAAAGACTTCAGAGACTTTTTGGCTTAAAATGTATATTAATGTTGGGAATCTTTTCAATAGAACTATAATTCGGTGCAAAAATACAAGTGTGTTTTATCATGCTTTATAAGTTGTTTTTTTTCACGTTTTACTATGTTTTTTACATGATGTATGGAGAATTTCAAATCGATTTGATTTAAGACTTGGACAAAAATCCGCAGTTTAATTATGTGAGTGTACATGCACTAATTAGTTTCTTTTTATTAATTCTAAAATATAATTGATTTTTTTCCACACCATTATAGACCCTAAAATTATTACAGTAAAATTTTACTTGTCACTCTCTTCCCTCACATTCAAATGAAGTGGGTACCTTCATCCTTCCCCTCCCTCCCATTCCGAACGATATTGTTTATTTTTTAACAATCAATGGGCATACTAGTTTTTTTCAAATAAATTTAAATAAAATTGAATTAGGGCATCAAAAAAGAGACTTTCTGTTAAAGTATTGGATGTATAACAAGCAATATTAGATAATGGAATATTCTTGCATATTTTCTCATGAATGACACTTTGAATGTTTTAATTCCAAGTTTTTATTAAATTTTGACCAAGCGTATTTGAAAAATGGAGCATTTTCAAACCATACCCTCCTGGGTAGAAACAGTGAAGGGGTTGTTATACTATAACAACAATTTCTATGACTTAATTTCACTTTAATACAAAGTTTTCACAGTGAATGAACAAAAATGTCATAGGTGATTAATAAAACAAGAGGCCCATGGGCCACATCGCTCACCTGAGAGGCTTTGACCATTCTGTTCTTTACCAGATTTCCCCCTTGTTATACATAATGCATCCCCACCCTATCCCACTGATCATACTTTAGACATTTTGAAATCTACACTACCCCATGATCCTTCCATGGGCACATATGTTTCAGCTTTTTTGGCCCAGTGGTTCCTGAGAAGAAGATTTTCAAAGATTTTTCCTATATATTTCTATGTAAAACTTTGATTCCCTATAATGGCCCCGCCCTTCCCCCGGGGGTCATGATTCCTATAATTTAGAATTTACACTACCCCAGAATGCTTCCACATAAGCTTCACTTTTTCTGCCCCAATGTTTCTTGAGAAAAAGATTTTCAAAGATTTTTCCTATATATTTCTATATAAAACTTTGATTCCCCATTGTGGCCCCGCCCTTCCCCCTGGGGTCATTATTTGAACAATTTAGAATCTACATTATACCAAGATGCTTCCACATAAGTTTCAGCTTTTCTGGCCCAATGGTTCTTGAGAAGAAGATTTTCAAAGATTTTTCCTATATATTTCTATATAAAACTTTGATTCCCCATTGTGGCCCCGCCCTTCCCCTGGGGGTCATTATTTGAACAATTTAGAATCTACATTATACCAGGATGCTTCCACATAAGTTTCAGCTTTTCTGGCCCACTGGTTCTTGAGAAGAAGATTTTCAAAGATTTTTCCTATATATTTTTATGTAAAACTTTGAAACCCCTTTGTGGCCCCGCCCTTCCCCCAGGGGTCATTATTTGAACAATTTAGAATCTATATTATACCAGGATGCTTCCACATAAGTTTCAGCTTTTCTGGCCCAATGGTTCTTGAGAAAAAGATTTTCAAAGATTTTTCCTATATATTTCTATATAAAACTTTGATTCCCCATTGTGGCCCCGCCCTTCCCCCTGGGGTCATTATTTGAACAATTTAGAATCTACACTATACCAGGATGCTTCCACAAAAGTTTCAGCTTTTCTGGCCCAATGGTTCTTGAGAAGAAGATTTTCAAAGATTTTTCCTATATATTTCTATATAAAACTTTGATTCCCCATTGTGGCCCCGCCCTTCCCCCGGGGGTCATTATTTGAACAATTTAGAATCTACATTATACCAGGATGCTTCCACATAAGTTTCAGCTTTTCTGGCCTACTGGTTCTTGAGAAGAAGATTTTCAAAGATTTTTCCAATATATTTCTATGTAAAACTTTGAAACCCCATTGTGGCCCCGCCCTTCCCCCGGGGGTCATGATTTGAACAATTTAGAATCTACACTACCCCAGGATGCTTCCACATAAGTTTCAGCTTTTCTGGCCCACTGGTTCTCGAGAAGAAGATTTTCAAAGATTTTTCCAATATATTTCTATGTTAAACTTTGAAACCCCATTGTGGCCCCGCCCTTCCCCCGGGGGTCATTATTTGAACAATTTAGAATCTACACTATACCAGGATGCTTCCACATAAGTTTCAGCTTTTCTGGCCTAGTGGTTCTTAAGAAGAAGATTTTCAAAGATTTTTCCTATATATTTCTATATAAAACTTTGATTCCCCATTGTGGCCCCGCCCTTCCCCCGGGGGTCATGATTTGAACAATTTAGAATCTACACTACCCCAGGATGCTTCCACATAAGTTTCAGCTTTACTGGCCCAGTGGTTCTTGAGAAGAAGATTTTTTAATGACCCAACCCTATTTTTGTCTTTTCTTGATTATCTCCCCTTGCGAGGGGATATGTCCCTTCATTTTAACAATTTAAATTCTCCTTCACCTAAGGATGCTTTGTACCAAGTTTGATCAAAATTGGCCCAGTGGTTCTTGAGAAGAAGTCGAAAATGTGAAAAGTTTACAGACGGACAGACGGACAGACAGACGGACAGACGGACAGACAGACGGACGGACGACGGACAAAATGTGATCAGAAAAGCTCACTTGAGCCTTCGGCTCAGGTGAGCTAAAAAACAATTCATTATTAAAAGTTATCATTTATTAATATTATTTCTGGTTTACTGACCTTATTCAATGGTAAGCATGCATTTTATACAAACGCCTTCATTTTAATTTTTTTTTTTAAAAACTCCCAATATGCTTTGGGCTACAATTAACAACAACAGAAATTAACCTTAATGATCACTTTCCATAAAAAAAATACATAAAATATTTTTCACCATGGTATTTTGAAATTATTAAGCATTTATTACCCCTACCCCCTAAATCATCGTTAAATTAGCAGAAACAGGTATGTAACATATCATCTTTAACACTTTAATTTTTGTAAGGTTAAATTTATATTTTGATACCATTTTTAATAGGCATGCAAAACTTAGTCCCAATGCCTATTTTACAATGACCTTGACCTTTTAACCTTGAAAAAAAACGTAAGATTTACTTAATAACAGCAAAAATACATTGTATATTTTAATAAAATTAGAATTAGATCATCTAACCAAAATATTTTCACTACAATTATTCTCACTGATTGATACAAACATCTGTTTTTATACTTTTACAAATTTGAGCCTCATTCAATATCTTTGCAGTCCAAATATACCTGCTGTGCTAGGTCAAAAACATCTCTCCTTAAACTTCTAGAATCCTGGAGTAATCATTTTTACAATACAATCAGTATACAATTATTGACTTTTGTTGAGGTCTTCTCATGAGTATACTGACCTGATCAGGTATTTGTTGACCGAGGCCAAACACCGAGGGTAATCAATACCTTACCAGATCCATATACTAACGAGAAGACCAAATTCAAAAATCAATAAATGTTTTATCAAATCAGAAGTTTTACAACATTTTTGAAATTATAATTCTTGTCTTCCAACACATATAAACACTTATAATGACAAATGTAGAATTTTTGCATGCTCCAGTTGAATGTTGTTTACAAGTTTGAGCTAAAAATAAAGGTGGCGTGACCTTGACAAACATAAAAACAATGAAACAGTAGATACAACCTTTGTTTTTTCGGCACTTATATCATGCATTGTCTTATCTTTACTATATACCAGTACTCATAATTTTCATGAAATTTTATCTGCATGCTACAGAGATCTTAAAAAAAGACATGACTTTGACTTATTTTCTATAAAGGATTTTAGTCGAACGTAGCATAAATTGACAAGGTTTTGTTCATCTAACACAATTAAGAATCACAACTAGAAAAAAACTGCCCTAATTTGGGCATTATTTCCTCAAGGGTTTTCTTGATGTTTGTAACTCGTGGTTGACCTTCACGATTTTTACAGGAAAATATGTTCCTGAGCCCATCCTCTCCTTCACGTTCATATATTTTCTTCAAGTGACCCAGATTTAGTCCAGAGCCAGCCACCTTCTCTGCTGTACTCATTTTAAGGATTCCTTTACCAACAAGCAAGTGCAAAGATGTGACGTTCTTTGCTTTTTCTCTGTTGTACTTTATTTGATTGATAACAGCTGATGGTGGGAAACTGTGAATACACATTTTGGTAGCATCAAATCTTGTGTGGGAAATGAGCTTGCCTAGGACCTTCACATCCTCCATAGCATTGTGGGCATCATATGTAGTGTTTAAAATTGTCCTGGCCAAATCTTCTTGCTTGTAAGACTGGGAGGTGAAGGCCTTCTTGAATACATTGAGACTGTCTATACACCCTGTTACACAGTCAAGAAATTCTGCCTCACGTTTTATGTTCATCATTGCATTCATTAACACAGGAAAATCAAATTTTCGTCCATTGTGGGCAATCAAATACACACTAGGATATTTCTTGAGCCATTTGCAGAATTTATCAATGGAAGAATAAAGATCTTCTGCATGAACCTGTTGACCATGGACTGTCATTGTCCCACTATTGTTGACAATTATCCCGGTTATCTGCTGTGCAGTGGAAGCAATTGGCACCTTTGGATAAACGTAAGCAGAAAACTCTGACACCGATCCCACGACTGATGCAGCAATTTGTGTGATATGTGGATATTTCCCTCCACGCACTGAAATATACAAATGTTTGTTAGTTGATAAATACTGATTAACATATTAACATGTACTAGTAGTTATCTTCTTGCTGCAATTGATATTTTACCCAAGTCAGTTGTCTCCAAGTCAAAAACGATGAAGGTAGTATTTTCCCCTGCAGGCACAGGTTTGAAGTTTCCTTGAGGCACTGCTTCTGGTAAGTGTTCTACATCAGCATCAACAGTAAGCCCAATACCTGCATAAGATTAGTAAAAATAATTTTTTAAAAAACTAAAATGTTCAGCAAAGCATAATATTCCATGATTAAATATAAAGATAGAACACTGATACATGTATTTGTTTTAAATTCTACAATTTCATAAAAAAAGAATAAAAGTAGAAATTTTATTTCAAATAAAAAAAATACCTGACTGATATGAAGCTCCCTCCAATGCTTCATTAGCACCTTGGGTGACCGCTCGCTCTTGTTTAAGCATCAAACGTCGTCTCTTGGTTGAGGGCAGGGAGGACTTTTCTTGAACTCTTTTTCTATGCCTCGTCATCTGCTCAGCATAAGCTGTGGTATATTTCCCAGGAGATAGACCAGCTTCCTTGTGAACCTACATATTCATAATTATTATTTTAATATATAAATATTGTTTTGAATAGTGACAAAAAACAACTAATTTTCATCAACAGAATTTTAGTATGAATTGTAACAAACTGTTTGAAACAACAAAGTAAATTTCATGCATGTACTTACAGCTCTGTGGCTTCCAATCCTTTATTATAACACATATGTCTTAAAAAGAAAACAAAAAACAAAACAATAATACAATTATAAATTAGTAAAAGTGTTATACAAAAGTGAACACAAACAGAAATGTATAAAGTATGCACCTGCAAAGAACCAAGGTGAAAGATTATTCTTTCTGTCATTTAAGATTCTGAGGGTTCCAATGGAAAGAAGAGTAGAAAAATTATGTCATTGTAATGTATTTCTATTTTCTAATTAAGGTCTTCCGTTTCCAACGGAAGACCTTCTACTGATTCTGATGATTAAGATTATTCTTATTATTCTTTTTTTTTCCTTTTCCTAGACGCCAACTTTGAGGCCTAATATTTCACTCATTTCTCAATGTATTTTGCTCAAATTTTCAGACTTTATAGACGTTACTAAACTCTATCAGAATTTTGTCTAGTTTTCCAAAAATTCACTTCCGGTTTTGAGTTATTTCCCTTTGAACGAAAATTTATAGGCTTTCATTTCCAGACAAAGGCTCGGAGATGGCAAAAGCTGGAGCAGAAATTTACTGATTTTACACAATAGAAGGATTGAAGTTGTGCATAGCGGTTTTTGTTTTTCGATTCCTCTATTCAAAACGGTGCTATATAGGGGTCAAAAATTAGAACGCCTAAAAGAGCGAAAATTTACACATATTAAGCTTTTTATCTTCTAAATTAAAAATATTTTGTTAAAACATATAGAACAAAATTTGTGCAGAATTACAAGATCTTTCAAAAGATATCTCGAAAAAAAGGCTGACCCCTAAATTAAGGGATCTAGAGGGGCCAAAAGTTTTTTCCAGATATCTCAAAAAGTATTGAGAATTTGTAATACGTCTAAAAAGCAAAGTTGTTCAAAAATTCAAGCTTAATCTATTGAAGTCGTCAAAATGCGTCTGGTGACGTCACTTCCGGTCAAACCGGAAGTCGTCAGAAAATGCATATTTTTGCCGTTCTTGACAAGTTTTTGGATAACATATGTCACTGGAAGCATAAAACTTAATTTTCCAACCGTCGACATCACTTCCGGTCAAACCGGAAATAGCCAAAAATAAATAGCTTATTTTTTAAGGTTTTGATGCAAAATTGAAATTATAAAGTGACTGGAGACGACTTAGCTCATTGTTTTCTTTTGTTGACGTCACGTCCGGTCAAAACAGGACGGAAGACCTACTCGTTGCTTTGCAACGAGCTTTGCTCTAGTTCATGTATATTTTGGGAATTTTTTTTATGAAATGTTCAATGATATTAATATTTTACAGTTTTGTTTTTCAATCTTAGTTTTATTACTGGTAATTCATGAAAGTAGATAATGCAATAAAACTGATCAACTAAATTAAAAAAAAATACAACAAAAAATTTAAATTCATATTAAAGAATTTTGTATGCAATGAAATAATTTGTTTAATACCTGTGTGATGTACTTCCTTGAGTTCCTTCCCTCATTAATGAAAGCTGCTGTTGCTGCTACTCGAAAATCCAATGATTCAGAGTTTCCATAATGTAATGATTTGGGAGCCCGTAGTGTAACCTCACGGTTAGCATGTTCACATTGTTGGCTACTACCTAAATCTGCTAATTGTTCGGCATTGTTCACAATTGGCTCAAAGATTTTTTCAAGCTGAGATCGAAGACTGTCATCTTTGAGTGAAGCTTTATATGGTAGGCTTCTGTGAACATACTTTTCCTCTGGTTTCCATTTGAATCCACAGAATCTTGAATGACAAGAAGAATGATCCCCAAATTGGTGTGGAATGATAGCTCTCAAGTTTTCTTCCATACCTGTTTTGTCACCTTGGTTCTTCGCAAATGCATACTTAATACATTTCTGTATGTGTTGAATAACACTCTTGCTAATTTTTTTCAAAGAGTACAAATTCTTTCCAATGTTTTTGACGATGTGATTTCTATCATACCGCTTTTTCAATGTCATATTTAAGTCTGACTTAATATGAGAGAGCATGGTGGTATCTCCATCTCCTTCAATGATCTCTATGGGCGTCCCTTCATCTGAGAGTTCCTTGACTCCTTGCACACCACTTTTGCACTCCATTAGTTTTGCGCTCCCAATATGATTACAAACACATCTGTGTTTTCGAACCGGCATTCTGGGTCTATTTCTCCTCCACCAGTTGCAAGTACCACAAGTTCTGTGCCGCACTACAGACTTGATCACCTTTCTTCCATATTTAGCCTTACTCATGAAGAAAGTGTGTGCTGAAAAATAAATAAAAGTTAAGAAAATAATAATCTTACTGCTTTATTTTTATTTTAAATTTATACCTCCAACAATCATGCTTAGATTCATAAAAAATACAATGCCAAATCATATACATGTACATCATTCAGAGGAGTGATTGTGCATTTGAGAGGATAAAAAAATGCTTCAATTAAAAAATTCTAGAGAGTAACATCTAAATAATAAATATTAATCTTAGTATACCAATATATATGATTACCAATGCTACCAAAATAAATTCAGGTCTTACAAGTTAGACTGTCAAATCCCCTTTTGTGCCATGCCGTGTCAGCAGCCGCTGACATTCCTCGCCGTGTCTTACAAGGATAACTGAGCTTCACAACTTTCTTGCCTTTAACTTTATCAACTTTCTTCTTAAATTTTTCAGATCTTGAGGGAGCTCTGGGAGTTTGTAAAACACGCTTCTCTAGGTGTGTAGGATTACAAGGAGTTTTGGGACTGTAATTAAAAATAATTTGAACTTTGTCAATGAGTTAAGACATTACAAAGCAGAGAATATTTTTAAAAATTGCATCTGACATTACTACTATCACACTTCTGAGTGAAAGCACCTGGTTTTGTTTGGCCCAGGTTATTATGATGTGATTTATATATTTATATTAGATTTTCAATTCAAAAAATATAACTGCATGATAATGTATGTATCAGTGGTTCAAGCTTCAAGGTGTTGAATGTTTAATGAAGATTTGTGTTATCCAGAGTACAAGTTTGAAGTTCATTAAGTATAATTCCTTGCAAGTTACCTGTTAACCTAATTCATTGATTGAATTATACATTTATTAATCTAAGAACAAATACCTATCGTCAGAAATTGGAGTTGATAAAGTCTGTCTTGGAGTACTTGCATTATTCTGCTGTTGATCATCTATTGTGTCATCAGATTCAAAGGAGATGTCCAAATCCAAAGAACTTGAAGGAATGACATTCAACAGCTTTCTATACAAAAGAATATTACATGTACATACAGTAATGAATATTAAAAATACTTTCCTTTCCTTTTTCAATATTTTTAGCCAATATATTTTAACAAATTAATAAGCATCAAAATGTTTACAAACCCAGAAGCTACGAGTGAGTCAGGGAGAGGACATACTCCTAAATCATCAATCATCTGTCCCATAGACTTCAATGCTTCTGCACTTTCAGCTTCTCCAATTTCTCTGTAATATTTAAACAGCTACTCAATATACAATTTCTAAATTCTATGCAAAAACAGTCTTTAAGCCACTTTATTGTTGGTACATGTATATAATTTTTTTCCATACATTCATAATCTTTTTTTAAAAAAAAAAAACTTACTCCATTTCCGTATTAAACGCATCAGTAGCAGCTTTCCGGGTGGACGTATTGGCAACAGCTTCTACAAATACCCCAGCTCTTCTCTCCATGTTTTTTAGACTTTTGGAATTTACAGGCTTCAAGTTTAATGTAGACAAAAAATTGTTTACACGAACAGGTCCACCAATAGAATCTATCATACCTGCAATAGTTTATCAGGTGTAGGAATCTACCTATATAGCTTTATTTACCTATATAATATAGCTTTATTGAGCTATTTCTTAGTAAATTTTTATTTTATGAAAATAATTATTAATGATATAATTTCTAAAAAAAACACCATTCACATACCTGTGCCCAGCTTAGTATTGATGGCAAAACAGGGCATCCCTGTTTTCTTAAGTCTGTGGGTTTTTCCGTATGGAACCAAGTTCACCCCTCCACAGTCTACATTCAAACATTTCACGTACAGAAATCCACCTAATCCTTTTCTTAGCTCCCCAACAACGTTTAGGTGTGTTAATGGCACCGGTCCCAGCTTACAGAACTGACAACACTGTAAACTCTCTAAAAGAACTCCAAGTTCAACGATCCGCCGACCCTCCCTCCAACTCTCTCTCTCTGCGTATTTACCGAGTTTTATATTTCTAAAGAGGGGGCAGTTCGGGTCTTCGCATGGATTTTTTTCACAGGTATGGCCGGATTCGTAATTATGGTCCAACAAAACGGTACGAATCCCTCTTGACGCTTTGGAAATCCTTTTTCCTTTAAATCGCCCGAACTTATCCCTGGGCGCAGCCATTACTACGGACCATAACTCTTGTCTAAGTAACGATAATTCATGACTTCCGATTCCCTAGCGACAAAGACTGGAATCAAGGGCAGAGAACCAGAACTATTCCGAGAATTGCCGAGATCGACGCCACATCGGTTAACATCGGAATTTTTACCGGAAGTGCTTTGTTATACATCTAAATCCTTAAACATTATTTTCATAAATTATCGGTCGTAAAACCAAAGGAAGTACGGCTAAGTTTTTGTAAAACAGAACAAGATAGCGCTAGGTTGTAAAAACAAAGTTGATCATATACATGTAAAGCCAATAAATGCACAGAAAATACGATAAATATTATACTTATTTCATTAATATATATACTAGTAATTAAATCAAAGGCGTGTGCCCCCGACCCCCCCCCCCTTTCAAATATTTGTATATAAAAAATGTAGGTCCATTATCCTAAATTCCGTACAGCCACCAGACCCCTCTGCCTTCTACTGCGCCCCCCGTTACGAAATTCCTGGATCCGCCACTGTAAATGCTCTTCTTCTCAATTAAGTACATTATTTTATAGGGCTGGGCAATAATATCGATATTTCAATATATTGCAATACGATGACAAAAAATATCGTATCGCAATACGATTTTGTAATATCGATATATTGGCAATATGCTTAGATTAAGGAATTTTGTCATTAAATATAAAAATGGACTTATGAAAGCTTGTTATAAAGCCAAACAGTACGATAGAAGTTGTTTTGTGGGAGCATTTCAGAACATAACTTTAATGAAATCAACATTTTTTTTTTGTCAGTGTTGGTTACTTGTCATAGTTATGTACATTCTGCATGTAAATTAAAGTAAATATAGTAAGAAAATGCCATTTAAATTACATTGAAAATATTGCAATACATATCGCAATACAGTTACAAATATCGCAATATATCGCAATACGAAATTTCGGGCCAATACCCAGCCCTATTATTTTAAGTAATGTTACAATTACAGTTCATTGATACATGCATAAACAAACAAATAAACACTATTACATAGCAACATTTTGCCGATTCTGGGAAAGTTATAAATGAGTACTGTATAACTGATTCCCCCCTGCCAGGAGTTAATCTGTATATAATCTTGATGGACAGCCGAGCTCTACAGGTCACGCAGTGGAAAATTTTCTCTTTATATATATCGCATTTCCTTTATATATATCGAGGTTTTGTTTATATATATTGCATTTCTCTTTATATATATATCGAGGTTTTGTTTATATATATCGCATTTCCTTTATATATATCCAGGTTTTGTTTATATATATCGCATTTCCTTTATATATCGAGGTTTGCTTTATATATATCGCATTTCCTTTATATATCGAGGTTTGCTTTAATTTATATATTGCTTTTCCTTTATATATACAGGTTGGCACTAATGGGCTTCCGTAGTTAGGATTGTTTTTAAGCTCCGATGTGTTATTATGAAGTTGAACATTTGAAATTTATATAGTCTTATCTCTTTTGCTTGTCTGATATGCACATAATCAAACATTACAAAAAAATATGTGTGAAACGCTCCCCTCACGTGTCCGTAGACAGAGTTAGAATTTAAGAATCGTATTTACATTGGACTGGCACAAGTGAAAGACAAGGATAAATTGAAGATATTCTGCGTGAATCTACAAGAGAAATATGTCCTCTAACTGAATTTTGCTGGGGGATTGTGTATAGTTTATCCATTTTTGTATAAATTGCGATAAGGCGTGGAAAATACCCCCTCTTATGTTGGTAGGTTGAATTTCTCGTAAAATATTTTCTTAACGAGTAAAAATTAAACCTGCCCCCAGCACTTTCTAAGTACCCTAGATCACGATGAATCGATATATGTAACAAACTTTGCACAATATTTTTCATAGGCGTAGTCACAGGGGGGGCAGCGGGGGCACTAGCCCCCCCACTTTCAGATGTGGGGGGGGCAAGAGTATGTCTGTGCCCCCCCACTTTTTAAAAGAAGAACAAAATCACAGCTATTTTCCCCAACATTACCTTTACTATAGGAAATATTCATTGAATGGATCCCCCCACACTTTTTGACCCTTGTATAATTGGATTTGAAAGTAACTTGCCTTTGAAAAAGTTGGCCTCTACCCCCCCCCCCCCCCCCCCCCCACGAAATAGGATTTTCGAGTTTGAGGAACTTTTTTTTTTTTGCTTGTCAAAGAATTCCTGGAGTTGAGCCCCCCACTTTTAATTTGTTTGTTTGTTTTTTTTTTTTTTTTTTTTTTTTTTTTTTTTTTTCCCAATTTTTTTATAAACCGGTTTTTTTTTTTTTTTTTTTTTTTTTTGCTTGTCAAAGAATTTCTGGAGTTGAGCCCCCTCACTTTTAAGTTTGGTTTTTTTTTTTTTTTTTTTTTTTTTGCTTGTCAAAGAATTTCTGGAGTTGAGCCCCCCCACTTTTAAGTTTGTGACTACGCCTCTGTTTTTGTTTTGCACTTGTGCTGAAGCGATTTTTGTGCAACATTTAGGAATGTCATAAATCTCCGTCACGTGATCAACGCAGTCATGTGACATCACAAAAATACTTTATTATAATACCTGATTAAACTATCATCTCAGGTCGACTGCAATTTCAGACAAGGGTTACATATTGAAATTAAAATCTAGGTCAAAATAAAATGTATATTTTTAAGGCATTTAAGGCCTTCGGACAGCCTTATCATAGCTGCGAAAACGCTACCTGTTTATCTGGCCTGCTTTCTACTTCGTGTTACGCAATACCCCCGGTATAATCGAGCAAAACAACATTTTCATCAGATCAAAAAGGTGTAAAAGAACAATTATGATTCTTCTATGATTACCGTTTTTGAGCTATAAATCAAAAGCTTTCAAGTTCCCTAAATCCCTAATTATAGGGGCCAGCCCCTTTTGAATAGTATTATATGAAAGCCCCTGCAAATATGCACAACTTTTGTTCTACATGTCTTAACAAAATATTTTTAGTTTTCAAGATATAAAGGAAAATAAGAGTAAATTTTCGCTTTTTTAGGCGTTCTAATTTTTGACCCCTATATAGCGCCATTTTGAATACAGAAATCGAAAAACAAAAACCGATGTGCACAACTTCAATCCTTCTGTCATCTAAAAACAATAAAATTTCTGCTCCAGCTCTAGTGGTCTCTGAGCCTTTATCTGGAAATGAAAGCCTATAATTTTTCGGGAAATAACTCATAAGCGGAAGTAAATTTTTGAACTGTTAGACAGCATTCTGATAGAGTTTATTATCGTCTATAATGTCTGAATATTTGAGCAAATGAGAAAGATATGAGGCCTCAAAGTTGGCGTCTAGGAAGAAAAAAAAAAGAATAATAAGAATAATCTTAATCATCAGAATCAGTGGAAGGTCTTCCGTTGGAAACGGAAGACCTTAATAATCGTAATCATCAGAATCAGTAGAAGGTCTTCCGTTGGAAACGAAAGACCTTAATTACTTTGCATAATCAATTATTTGATATTTCTGCACTGAAAAAATAAGATTTTTCAGCATTGAAAATTTAGAAAGCAAGAAAATTATTTACAAGTCTTAAACTTTTATAGGTTTTTAGCACATAGTCAAAATCATCTTAAATATTCAGAGAAGAACATCAAAAGGAGGGGTATATGATGTAAATTTTTAGATATAACTAAAAATCTGTCAATTTTATATTAAAATTATTAAAATATACTTCGTCACTTAAAGCTATTGGTATGCAATTGAATCATGGAGTTTTAACTGAATATAGTTAAACTGCCGATGTAATATCCAAATTTTTTAAGAATTAAAACGTTACGTGGAAATATAGGTTAAGATAAAAATCTGCTAAAAAGCTCAGGAGCTAACCTTGTTAAGGGTTAAGACAAAGCTAATTTTTGATTATATGTTTAATAATTGTTTTGAACTGTATAGATTGAATTAAATTGTTAAACTAGAGATTTAGCCATTATAAACCATTATCTTCGTGTATTTGAATTTTATATCAACAAAAAAAAAAGAAAAAGAAAAAGAGTGTCTGGCGACTAAAGCAGCCAAGGTTTCTAGAACTTATAAGCATGATCATTGATAAACGTGATTGTCTTTTATGATTGTTTTAATTGAGAGTTATTATATGAACATTGTAAACCGTTAAGTGTTATGATAGAGATACAGAATGTTTTTAAATACAAATGTATTAATAACTGAGAGAATAAAAACATTTGCATGACGAGTATAAGGAATTTATGTTTGTTTTATTTTGGTTATAAATTCAAAATTTAAATCTTGTATTTTGACTTATATTATCTATGTCCCCAGCATCACTGAATAGGTCAACTTATGGGGGGGGGTTAAACTTGGAAACAAGGAAGATAGATATTTTTACCCTCCCTCTCAAAAGTCAAAGGAAATGAAATGAAAATACACTATACAGTGACTAGGTGACTAGATTTACATGTAGCGAAATTAGCGAGTGAGCAATTGAATATGGCTGACAAATTCCTTTTACGAATTGTGTTCAGTTTTACTTCACAACAATTCTTGAGAACTACGAGATTCAAGGGTTTACTTGTGATATTTTTCGCAAAATGATAGCGTCACCTCTTTTGAACGAGGCAAAATACAAATGGACTGATCCAGTAATACAGAAACGCAGAAAGAAGATTACAAGGATATGTCCATTAAGGAAAAAACATTTGAACGAAAGGAAAAATCTATAGGAAGTTAGCACATCAGTATTTTGTATCAGTAGAGTTTTTGTTTTTTCCTTTAACTGTGACTGTTAATACATAAGTAAGAAATTCTCAACTCGCACAGAATTTAAGGACAGACGAGACGTTCCTTAATAACAGATAAAATTTTCCAAGATTTTGTCATTGAAGTATTGCTAGTTAAACATGTTTCCTCACAAAAAAACTGAAGTATCTTACCAGGCATTTCTGCAAAATACTAGGGGTAGTTTTTCCTATATAATCCTTTTGGGAGGAAAAATAATTTTTCAATTTCAAATGATTAAGTGTTTGGATTTTTAAAAGACGTTTAGAAACTGGTTTAGAAATCAGAATGTAATTAAAATTTTGAATATTTTCCATACATTACGAAAATATACAAAACAGATTTTGAGGAACGTCTCGTCTGACCTTAAACTGGCCAGCCATGACCCAAAAAAACTTTTATCTGTTTGACGCCCGTGTTCAAAATACCGTTTTATGAACAGTCCAGTGATAAATAAACTCCACTGTCTGCAATCCCGTGTTAACAATTATTATGACGTCATGTTTAAACAATACTCATGAATAAAAAATAGAGTATCTATATATATGTATTCTTTTTAGACACATTCAAATAAATGTACTCTCGTTTCTTGATAATATACACATAAATAATTTTGCAATTTTTCTTGTCATAATAACCCTAATCGAAAGGAAAATGATAACCAACTTGATCTCTCTCTACGTTCTGAGATGACGTCAACTCATAATATAACACGACGTCTCTTTGTATTTTATACGTGGATCAAGCTATTATCATAGTTTGTAAGAGAAAAATTATTGTGTTTGAAACATGTATAACTACTATCCCTTCTATTTTGAAAAGTGTTGAGAGCCGGTTTGCACTGTTGATTTATTTCGTATTTTAACATTATTTTAATGGGAATGACACCTAGAGTTTATAGAAAGACGACCACAATTTGGTTATTTTCACAATTTTCACAATTTCCAAAACATATCAGCGTGTGTTTACAGGACGCTAGGTAGCTTTGAATGGACAAATGAACAATAATAAAACCGATCAAAATTCTTGTTCAGGAAATGGGATACTGTAAATAACATATTTTAATGGGTCAAATTTTTATGGTTTGAGAAAAAATCTCTTGGTTCATTGGGATTTCATTTCGTGGATGGAGAACCTTTTGGTTGTCATTTATATTTACACATTTTGAATTTCGCGGTGGACATAAATTTGTGGGTCTTATCATACCACGAAAACAACGAAAATTACCCCCACCCGAAAAACTTGTGAATTCACAGTTTTTAAATTAAAAGAAAGCAAATTCAAAGAAATATGCCCCCCTTTCGGTGTCTTTGTGGTTGAGATGTCAAATATCATCGTCCTATCATATGTCATTCAGAAATTATCACAAAAGTTGAATTTTTAATAAAATAATAAGGCCAATCGTGAAGGCCAAGGTCAAATAGTCAGAAATCATAGCATGCTTGGAAATATCTTGTCATAGGTAATGCATATACAAAATATGAAAGCCTTATCTCTTCTCAATAAAAGTAAAAAGGAACAAACGCATACAGATGACCCCGTATGGCAACAAAGCGAAGATTTAACTTTTCTTAAATGCAAATGAAATATATTGGTACCCAAATTTTTAAAGTTTTCAAATTACAAGGTCAAGATAAAAGGGTTAAAGATTTTTTTTCCCAACAAAAACAGGTTTGCTTTATTGCTGACTCACTTTCATCAACATTGGACCGGAAAATAGTGATGAAACAATATTTTTTTTCATTTCAGGCATCCTTCCCTTTAAAGAGTATTTTGAAATATATAAGGAAGAAAATAATTTTGAAACATTATGACTGATCAATGCGTATGAATAATTTTTTTCTTTTAAAGACTATTACAAAAATTAAGTGTAAATGGCTCGATTATCTTTTCTCTTGGTAATTTTGATTAACAGAGCATTGTCCTGCGATAGGTATGTATAGTTATCTATATGTTAAACAAAAACGTTGTTCCAAATATATTTCATGAAATTTATTACATGGTTATAATTTTAAAAAGTTTACCAAAATTTCATTTTTTTTTGTTTTCAGTGGCATTTCAATAAACTGCATATATTTTTTTTTTACAGACGATATGATAAGGAATGTTGTCCTTATGCACACCAGTGGGATTCAAACACTAATTCTTGTACAGGTAAAGAAAAGCCTAAAATATTCATGCTGAAGAACATCCTTACATGAAACGTCAAGAACTTTGAATAGACAGACTTTTTCTAAATTACAAAGCATACATATATGGAAAAATGTATTAACTATTAAATTTCGCACTGGCACTACATATATTTTGATGCATGTTAGTTTTCTTATTTATATCCCCCGCTTGAAAAGCGGGATGGTATAAAGTAATCGGTATGTCCGTCCGTCCGTAGGTCCGTCTGTACACGTACGAACTGTACATAACAACTGCCCATCTCTCCAATTAAAACAAATGATTTTTTTCATGATATTAAAAGGTTTTACTGTACTTATGAAAATGGATAAATGACCCCTTGATCTTTCCCCATGTTTGAGTTATGTAAAATTCGACATATACATTGTATGATTGATAAAGTTCATTCTTTAATATATGTGCTATCTTCTTTGAAATGGACAGCAAATGTTTGCTTTTGCTGTATTTTTCTGTAAACATACATCCCCACCTTATGAACTTGTGAATTTACAATTTGCCAAACTCTCACCAGAGGACGCGTTTCGCAAGCTTCACTTACATGTGTTGGAGCGGAGGGTAGAACGACCACTGGTGAGAGATTGGAGAGTATGCCCAAATAACTTGCCCTAAAAACAATTCATACTTTCCATACTTTCGAATAACAATATAAGAATCATAGGCAAACCTCGCTTTTAAATCTAGAATTTGTATTTTTGTATTCTTTGACGTAACCAGGATCCCAATTTCTCTTTGATAAATATATCCATATACATACAAAATAAATTCTATGGTACAAACATTGAATAAATAGGAAGAATTTAATATATAAATAGTAACAGGATAAGCTTGTTAAATGACTTCAACTACTGTGTTTTAAAAACTTGTTCTTACCATGTTTACCGGCATTAATTTTGTGCATCAAGGTTTGCAAAATAATTAGACAACAGTCCAAATAAGCTTGCTACATTATAGCCAAGGGGTACACACGAGCGTTGAAACTACCATTAATAATTTCTACATGTAAGACCTTTCTGCAGAGTTTGAAAAATACATTGTTTTGTCAAATAGTTATATATTAACCATTCAGTTATTCAAAACGAGACAAAACATACCGAATGAAGATTTTTTGTGGTTTTAAATTGATCTAGTGAATTGATAGCCTAGCATAGCTTCAGATAACACGAGAACCTCTGCTTCGCAAGTACAGGGTCTGATCCAGTAGTTTTTGAAAAAGTGAAGGGGGGGGGTCTAGGTCAAACCGCAAACACTTTTTTTTCAAAATCAAATTTAAAAAAAAAGAAAGGCCCATGGGCCACATCTCTCACTAAAGTATAATTTGAAAAATCTCTTCTTTACCAGACCCCCCATGTGTTTTTTATTGTGACCCTACCCCACCTTTAGATTTTGACAATTTAGAATCTTCACTATCCCAGGATGCTTCCACATAAGTTTCAGCTTTTCTGGCCCACTGGTTCTTGAGAAGAAGATTTTAAAAGATTTTTCGTGTATATTTCAATGAAAAAATCGAATTCCCTAAATTGCAACCGCACCCTGCCCTTTGGGGTCATGGTTTGTAGTTGTGGTTGCATTTATTTTAATAGGTTAAAATTCTTATTAACATGTTTTGATTGTTTACCTCGTTTATCTAGTTGCGTTTCGGCAACTCGTAATAAATAAATAAAAGATTCAAGGACAATTTAACGAGTATGCATCACTTAATATAGGGTTAAAACCCTAGGAGTTGAAAAAAATTATCTTAGGAATATTCAATTTGAAGAGCTTTCGAGAAAAATCGTGTAAGCTTTTTTACTCCCTTCTTATATTATTGTGATTTAAATTCAAGCAGATGGTGTACGAAACAATTCATATTTGTAAAAAAAAAATAAAGGTATTAGAGACTGAGGTTTAAAATCAACGTCTTCTCAATTTTCATTTTTTTGGTCATTAAAATGGAGCCCCCCCCCCCCCCCAGCGACACTTACAGGTTTCTTATCACGCATGTAAATTTCTTAAAAATTCAACAATTTTATATTCCTGAAACATATAATTATCGTTAATATAAAATAATATATAAAACTGTTGCATTTAGGCCATAAACGTCCGTAAGTTAGGGTCCTCGGATTAAAGTTCTCCGCTAATTAGATAGGTGTTACGTGGTACTATTAAAACGTCAAAGGTGTCATTGGGCAATTAGAACTCGTAAAGCGTATCGGAAGAAAACATCTACCTAATAGTAACAGATTTTTAACTTTACATAAAAAGAATAAACGACCAGGTAGAAAGAATTTTGATATTAACAATATTACTTTGATTATGGACGCGCAATCTTATATCTACCATGTACCATAGAAAAATAACCAAAAAACGTACCGTGAAAGGAAGAGATGGCATTGGAGACGAAGCCCTTCACAACTTCATTATATTGATAAATAATACATTATGATATTTTGTGTATTTTCTATCTGTTACAGCGGTGAATTTCGTATACTAGTCGTAGAAAGGACACTTCAATCTTCGATGGCGCCGTGCACAATTACGAACTTCATAACACTCAGTGCATAATGTGTGTGCGACTTTAAAAATGCCATCTTCGCTAGCCAAGAGGGACAATCCGCTCCTCTGAAAAGAGCGGATTGTCACCCTTGGCTAGCGAAGATGTAAAAATGCATGTAGATAATTCTATTTGGAAAAGTACAATTTTCATTTAATATATATCTTACAATACAGAAAATTATACAGAAAAAAGATATTGTATTTAAACGATTGCTTTGAATGTAGACAAATCCTCGCACCGTCCAAGTCCCTGGTATGTTTGAAAGAACGTCCTAAAACCTTTCTTGTGCTCATTTTTCATCAAAATGCCACAAATTATATTAGACTTTCAATAAACCAATTATCATTCATTTAATTTCTAGCAGGGTTTATAGACGAAGCAATTGAGCAGTTTTGTAAAAACAACACAATAAGTACTTCGCTTGACGAGGGCCCCGTGGGGATCCAGGTTACATTTGTAGAATAGGTCCTCAGTACCCCCTTGCTTGTCGTAAAAGGCGACTAAATGGGGCGGTCCTTGGGATGAGACCGTATAAACCGAGACCCCGTGTCACAGCAGGTGTGGCACGATAAAGATCCCTCCCTGCTCAAAGGCCGTAAGTGCCGAGCATAGGCCTAAATTTGCAGCCCTTCACCGGAAATGGTGACGTCTCCATATCAGTGAAATATTCTGGAGAGGCACGTTAAACAGTATACAATCAATCAATCAATCAATCGCTTGACGAGGATTGACATCTATGATGTCAGAGAAATGGCGCCCAACATCGACGATAAAAATATGCATATTGAGAAATTCAAAATTTGAACCGCTGAAAGAACAAAAATATTAATTTTCTAGCCAACAAATTTTGATAGATGATTTTAATAGCATATAAACTTTGTTATATCAAAAATTATATTGCATGATAAAAATTACCTGATAAAAATGATTTGTAATATCTTTTACAATGATAAACCTTTGTTTACCTTGTAGAACTATTTTTATCAATGTTTAAAGCGGATCTTACCATTGTCCAATTCTTGAATAAATAGCAACATTTGTTAGAAAAATACGTACATGTATGCATTTTGTTTTTATCTATGTAGGTCAGGTCAATCTAGGATCCAATATTAAAATTAAATTGACTGCAAAAGAAAAATATTCAAAAGCAAAAGAACATTAAAAAGCAATGTTTTTATGAAAAATGACAAACTACCAGGAAGCTTTAAAACTAAGAAAAATGACTCGGCTATTTTTAACTTGTTGTTATGTTGCTATCTAGGAAATAGACATAAAAATTGAAAATGCACGCAACACAGATGGGGCTACAATTGGCAGGTACGGCCTCTTTCGTACGGAAAAAATTAAAATGACGTTAACCAAAAATATCAGGTCTTTAAATAGCCTGAAATTGAAATTTATATCCACAAATTTTCCTGATAATGAGACAAAACAATTCAGGCTGTTCGAAGCTTGTTTTTGCTTATTATTAACCTCTTGTATAAATTATTAAAAACACAAGTGGAAATTATTTACTACTCTTAACTAAATCACAACTTACTATTAGATGAAACAAACATTCTGAGAGTATTGTATAAAGAATACAATGTGTCCCCTTCCGGTTTTCCTTTTCTCTATAGGTTGTCATTTTAAAAATATACTGTATATGAAAAATTACCCCCAAAATGTGGACATTTTGATAATTTTCCTTTCTTTATTAATGAAAGTTCTTGGAATATGAATTCAATCTGTCTAACAAAGAAAAACGCCCACGAATGGCACTAAACATTCACATGCGATTTAGTCAAACAGCTCATTTTACATGGTTAAACAAGATGTATTTGTGAAACACTATGCACCCGGCGGCAACTAAGTTCTAAAATCAATTTTTGCAAATGGGTCTCATTCAAAAAATCAAAAGTCAAACTTGATCTATGATTTGTGACTAAGTTAGGATAGACTAACTGTGTCTAGGGACAAACCCTCAACACATGTGCAGTTACATTGTTGAATAAACCCAAACTGGCTATACTCACAGTGTTGCAAAAAATTGCTTTAAAGTCATTTTAACGGTAGAACATTATCTAGTTTGCCACTTTAAAGCTACCGTGCAAGTTTCAGATAGATTACTTTTACAATGACAATCTGGTTTGGAACAATAATTTAGTGCAGCACGAATCCGATCTTAAACCATATTATCAAATATTGAAAATGTCATTATTCCGTCAAATATAAATGAAGTGTAAGGAAATACAAACTTGATCTGGAACTTATCAAGATGCACTCACATACCAAAAATCAACTCAATGTGTGCAGGCTTTTTGAAAAAAGGTCGAAAAAGCAAGCGAGGCGAGGACTGACAGACAGAAAGAGGTACAGTCAGACGGACGGACAAACTCAGAGGAAACCTACAGTCCCCTCTGGTTTCACCAATAGGGGACTAAAAACTACAAGTGATTCCCTTTTTTGTTTTCATTTCATTTTTTATTGTTTGTTTATTTTGCTTTTTTTGTTCTATAATAAGCTTATCTTTCGTAAAATTTCACCAACTTTTCATCAGCTTGCAGATCTGGATACTTCGGTCTGCACTGTGATATAAAATGTCCATATCCATCTTATGGCTACCTCTGTCAAAGTAAATGCAACTGCAACAAAGAGAAATGCAGACCAGCATATGGATGCCTGAATTTAAAAAGTAAATTACTAACTGTTTGAACATCACTCTAAGTAAATTGAAGCAGTTGTTTTTACAAAGGCAATGTTAACTTCAATTATTAGCAGTGTTTTGTATGTTTACCAACTTATTAGCATTTCCTAACAATGTGAAAATTATACATAAACGACGTGATCTTTTTTAATGAAATGCTACGAAATGTAAAAATACAGGTGTTTTTTTGACAAAGCATTTAATTAGCCTGAGACAAATATTAATAAGTATGTCGAATTTGATGTTAAACTAACTAAGCCTTGAACTAAGTAATCTTACCCGTAGCCGATTGAGAGACAAAAATTGAAATGATTGTAGAAGCAATAATGATGCTAATAATGCATCTGGAATCTGAATCTTATTATTTGATATTTTTCTTGTAGGTCGACTCGTGTGACCTATTGCTATCCGTTTTTGTGTATCGTCCTAAGGTGTGCGGCGTGTGTTAACATTAAAATCTTAAACATTTTCAGCTTCTTCTCTGCACCACTCAACTAACATCAACCAATTTTGGCATCAAGAATCTATAGTTGAAGGGAAACAATCGTGAATTTCATGGTCCCTGTCCCCTCTCTCCCCCCGCCCTTGGGCCTTGCTGAGGGGTGTGCTCAAAACCACGTACGGTAAATAAATGCAATCTTTTAAAATTTTCTCCTTTACTTCTTGACATCAAGCAGTCAAACTGTTGGCAAGATTATGATAAGCATTTAGTCCTATGCAAATATTGTTAACTCAGGAAGAATCGAGACCTTTCAGTCGAAACTTTAGATGTCTTTCAGCACCATTTCAGTGACATTTCAGTCACTGAATGGCAGGTACGTTTCAGTGGCCATTCAATCACCTTTCAGTAATCATTCCGTCAACCTTTCAGTTACTCTTCAGTTATCTTTCAGCAACCATTCAGCCATCATTCAGTGACCATTCAGCCAAAATTCAGTGACCATTCAGCCAACATTCAGTGACCTTTCAGCCAACTTTCAGTGACATTTCAACCAACATTCAGTGACCTTTCAGCCAACTTTCAGTGACCTTTCAGCCAACATTCAGTGACCTTTCAGCCAACATTCTATGACCTTTCAGCCAACCTTCAGTGTCCATTCACCCAATCCTCAGTGACCTTTCCGTGTCCTTTCAGCCAACGTTTTTCCCCTTTGCCATTCACCTTTGATAATTGATTCCTTGTAAGTAATGCATTTTAAAAGTTGTTAATATGATAAGAGGATTATGCAAGAATATTAATTTTACGAGGTTTATCCCAGAAAAAGGCGTACATTTTCAATTTTTTTTGTTTCATATGACTATACAGTTCAGAATTGACAAACCATGATCAACATTTTTTGAATTATGCCTAAAACTTTCAATGAAATATCTCTATGAATAAAATTTCCTTCTTAGGTAAAGGAATCTAACAATCAGCTGTCGGTGCAACACTGACGATGTTAAAACGTATTTCATAGTGTTTGTGAATTTGTTCTGGAAACTGTGCCTCTAAAAATTCATATAAGCATACATTCGGCTCTGTATTTTATTTTGTTTTAGTTATACAAAGATATACATTTTATATACTATTGTTACCAAAAGATTTTCAGAATCCCGATCATAAACTTAACTGATCTAATTGTTGAACAGCGGTATTCACGTAGTTTTAGGCCTATGACGTCGACGTCCCGCTCTTGTCCTTTCATTTATTTAATTAAGTGATCTATTCTCTTTATCGGATAACCAGCCACGTAAACCCAAACTCCATCTACCAGAGTTAAACCTGTTTCTTATACTTATGCTTGTGCCTTTTCATCGTTAACATACCTTTTCCCTGTGGAGAGGATATTTATCCCCCTGAACATAGTGTTGCCTGATAATTTGGTGTTCCACATTACCGCCTAACGCAACGATTTTTGACAATATCTAACATAATGTGCTTGGCACATATCGTCATGTATTTGTCATTAAAGATGTCGAATAAATGAAATTATGAACGCTAGTTCACCACATTATAGAGTTTTTATGAAGGTAAACATTTTGACATTATATTGCTTTATATAGCCTTATAACAAAGACAACTTCATTGACAATGCTATTTGAAAAAGTCAAAAAAATTTTCGTGCGCCGACCACCAATATTTAACACCCTATAAATGCTTTTTTATATGCATATGACATCATAGGCCTATGATATTTTGTCAAATTATCAAAAAGATGATTTTTTCACAAGTATGCTAAAAATTAATATATTTGAATAGTATTTGTAATATTCAAAAAAAAAGTTTGCGTTTTTCTGGGACAACCCTCGTGTAACACAATTAAAAAGGCCTTCATTGATTGAGATTTTTTCCCTCATATGGAGTACTTTCATTGTATTAAGGATTGATAGATTTGTAAATAATAAATGAATAAAATTGAGACAAAAATAACTTTTTAATTGCTCTTTAAATTCCATGATAAGTCAATATTAGAGGTTATAATTAGGAGTTATATAATAGATATTTCATCTTTAAAAGCTTCATGATAATAGTGATAACTAGGGGACATATAAATACTATATCAATCATTTTATTGTTCCTAATATTTCTATTTTTCTTGCTCTCGGGCAACAAAACTTCATGTATCAGTTTATGGATCCTCAAAACTGTTGTACTCAGGTGACCGTTAAGGTCCTTGGTCTCTCCTTTGATGGGAGTAGTGTGAATATTAATTTAATTTAAAAGTTACAATCAATGGAAAATGTGGCTCTGATGGCTGACAAAGCTGACTTAACATTAAATGGCAATATTCAGTGTTTATATTTAAACTTGATACATTACAAAATATCGAAGCGGTAAATTGAATCTTGCTCATAAATAACATTCAAATCACACCTGTATTTCACGGATAGAAAACACTTTCTCTTTCAATAAAGATCCTGCGTTAGAAGGATATAAAGCTGGCTATCCTGGACCAAGAGGAAAACATGAGTGTAGATATCCAAATTATGGTGCCAACTGCCAAAATATATGCAATTGCAACCCAGATATGTGTAATCCTGTGTTTGGATGTCAAGGTTTATATTGAGAGAGAGAGTATTAAATAATGGAATTTTGCTACTAAAATATCCGTGTTCTTTACTTTGTTGTTCATTTATCATTTTTGTGCTTTATTATATTCAGGAAAAATTCACCTTAATTGTGTATTATATAAATATAGTAGGATATCATCCATTTTACATTCAAGGGTTATAAAATTTCAAAGTTATATAGCCAACACAAACGATTTAAAACTTTTTTCTGTGCATCATATGAATACAATAATACAGTTATAAAAAAAAAATTAAGAAAAATTGCTTATACCTTTTTTATGAAAATTTTCTTCAACACTAAATATATATTAAAGTTTGTTCAAGTGATTTTTTGCACATATATGGTTACACCATTTACTTCCTTTGCAAGATTGCAGAGCTGGTTATCTTGGACCAAACTGTCAACATGAATGCAGATACCCAAACTATGGTTATGACTGTCAAAAGAAATGTGCCTGCAAGAAAGAGATTTGCAATTTTGTGATTGGATGCACACAAATAATAAGTAAAATATTGGGTTTTTTCCTCATAGTTCTTGCTTTTCTTTTCCTACATGTATATGATAAAAGATTCAAATTTCACATCTTTCTTGATTAAAATGCGCAATCTGACTGCCGACTATATTTTTACGAAAGGGAACAAGGGTTACATAAGATGCACGAAATGCTTTATACACCTCTCTCACACGTTTTGTACACGATTCTCGCACACTTTGATATCGGTTTTGGTTATCTGCTTGGAATATCTAATTATTAAATTTTTATGAAAAAAAGTGTGTCGGATTCATGGAAGTTTGAGATATGTCTGGATTTGTTGTCTTTTTTGCACAAGTGTAGGAAGTGATGATTCAAACTTATATGAAATCTGTCGGGAATGTTTTATGTATTTTTTATATAACAGATTTAACGGCAAGCATGGCGCATTCACAGATTCCAGAAACAGCTACGAGCAGTTCTTCTTCTAAGCTCAAAACATCAAGTTTGCAGTCCTCAGAAAAAATATCAGGTATTGTATTGTTTAATTTATATAATAATTCTATTATTTCTATTAAGGACAGATGATACAAACAAATGTTTTCTTTGAAAAGGATTTAATATCATGTCACAAGTTCAGAAAAGTGGATGGTTCTTAGAATTTTTTCTCCTAAGAACTGGAAAATAAAAAAAGACTTGGAAAATATTAAAATTATTGCAATAAAAAAACCAATATAGACAAATAACATTCAGTAAAGGTTTACAGGTGAAAACAAGTTTCAGAATATGTTACCATGATGCTAAAAGTGTAATATGAACTTAAGAGAAATATACCAAGCCAGATGAACTTTATTAGAAAAAGCTTAATGGTAGAAATCAGCCTATGTGATATTGCTAATTTTTTGTCATTTTGTTCTTCCTCACAAAATTCACATGGTTTGGTATATTTTTTAAAAGTTTATATTACACTTTTAGCACAAAGGTAATATACTCTGAATTTTATTTCACCTGTAAACCTTTACTGGGTGTGTTTTGTTTATATTTCTTTTTTTTTATTCAAATAACTCTAGTATTTTCCAAGTCTATTTCATTTTCCAGTTCTTAGGAGAAAAAATTCTAAGAACCATCCACTTTTCTATACTTGTGACATGACATTAAATCTTTTCAAAGAAAAAATTATTTGTATCATCTGTCCTTAATTTTGGAAATATTTGTAAGGTCTGATACTTTTTTAATAATAAAGCAAGTGACCCGAAGTTGTACTTTATTGTAAATTAGTTTTATTTGAAAAACAGAGCGCGTTAGACTTATCTTTCTCTTTATCCGGTAAATCACTATTTATTCGCGATAATTTTATTTTCACGTTAGTACGCGAGACAGTAAGCACGCAAAAATTTCATTTTCGCGTATAATAGAATACCTTATGATTATATAGAGAAATATTAACAATTTGTGAAAATTATGTCTCGCTTATAAAGAGACAATGACTATCTCGCAAAAATAAGGTGTCGCGAAAATTTAGTAATCTACAGTAATTATGCTCTTTGCACAGTATATATTTTCGTTATATAAAATGATTCAGTTCGTGTGGAAACATTTCTAAAGACAAAAGGATCGACTCTTGACTTAGAGCAGACGCTCTAACCACTGCGCCACGCGGGTTGTTTTTTGTACTGAGGTAAAAACTATGACTCTTGTTTGATGTTTTGAGCAAAGTCGAGAATATCAGTCTCAAATCAGCTACTTCCAAAATTCTTTGTAGATTAATTTAAGGCTTGACCATGATTGTTCTGGTGACCAGAACTTCACATATAAATTTCTAATGTTTACAGTATACATGATGAAATAATAAATTATTGTATATGACAGCAAATTCCGCTATTACATGTACTGCTTTCACGAGACATGAATTATACTTGGGTTATGTCTCGTGAAAGCAACCTTTATATGAAATATACATGTATCTGTCTCTCATGAGTTATGAAGTCTCAATAGCCAGAACAAACATTTCATCTAATCATTGGATAAAAATGCATATACATTTTACTGTATTAAAACAGAGCTTGATACATAGCAAATAACCATTGGTTAAACCATACTTGATAATTAATAAGGGTGTTCAAATGTCTTTTTGAAAAATCAAGAAAATTCATGAATATTCTTCTTAATTTAAAGTAAATAATACTTTAGCATATTTTTGCCTTTGTTTTGAGAGTTAGAACATCCGTTATATATTTTGCAGATGATCAAGATGTAAAAATAATGAGCTTGATAAGTCACAGATTTCTATCGAAACCCGAATCAGCTGGATAAGGATAAAAAATAAGATAATAAATATATACGTATAGTTAGAACTTTGCAATGTACCTAAAATAATTTACAAATGCATTGAAAACAATTCCCGCCTTTTTTTTATATGTTTCTTTAACGGAAAAAAATATCAAAAACATTTTCAGACTCCCTCATACACCTAGCTATAAGAGTATAATTTTATCCCTCCAATTGCATTGAAAATAGAAAATCATTTATCGCAGAAAAAAGAATATACAAGCCCAGTCCTTTAGAAATATAGCAGCTGTATGTGTGTGGAAAGGGTTCATCAGAATGAAAGCTTGGGTACATGTATAAGAGTACTCTTCAAATTTGTATCAGGTATCCCTTTCACAGCTTGATAATACACAAAACATCAAAATAATAACATTTATAATTTTTCAATGGCTAGAAATTTAGGCTGTAGAGCGGCTTAAGTTTTCGTCGGAAATGCAGGAATAACAAGCATATGCGGATCAAACAGCAACCTTTGCGGATCAGGGAGGCGAAATTAAAACGATTAATTTTTCTTGATCCCTCCTTGCAATCTCAAATGGAAGATGAAGTTTTAGAACCCCAGATGTTTTGGGTTTATAGCCGCGATTGCAAGGAAACACTCGTGCAATAATTCTTTAAACTTCAAAGCGATTATGATGTACATTTGAATTTTTAATTGTTACCCTCTACTTAATCCAAAACTCCAATCAAGGGTCCCTAAAACATGCTTAAGTAGGATAACTTCTGTATTAAATACCATACTACAACATATTTGAGTAATATTTTTGCATTGACCCTACCACACCGTTTTTAAAGATATTGTAAGCTTCCCACGGATGACCTTTCATAAATGGGAATTACAAACGATAACATCATACTGTACATCATCAGTAGGGTGGTACTTCAATCCTGGTTAACTTCAATTTATAAACATAACTAAAGCTCCTCAAAGGTAACCATAATTTATTAACAATTTGAGCAATATTGAGCAAGAATGGCATCAGGTATAATATATGAGTCTTGGTCGGTGCTGTTAAAAGGGATGGGGTGGGAATGTCTAAGGTGGTCGTCAACTCAATATTGAATAGTTATCAATAAATATGATTCAAATAGATGTGTTGGGGGATAGGTTATGTCTCACCTACGCTGCTGAAGCAAATTTTCTTCCATAAATCTTAATATTTATACACTTCGGAAGTAGTCATGTGAAACAAATTAACGAATAAAAAAGATATAGGGTAACTCTCGATCAATCACAGCATTCTGCGGCGCTGTACAAACAAAGATCTGTTAAGCAACATCAAACAAGGCTGCTGCACAATGAAGATAATAACTACAAAATGGAATTCCTATAAACAATTATAATAATTATAACATTGTTTGGATCTGAAGACATTTTCATCAACTGCAAGTAAACATTGTAGTGGAATTAAGCGTGTATTTCATGATAGAAATCTGCAATTGTACAGCTGACGATATTCAAATAGCTCTGGTACATGTATATACCTTTAAAATCATTTAATGATACTGTATTTTACAGGATTATATTTGAGTCAAGTAAGACCCTACAACTGCTATAAATGCATACTTTCTGGAGTCATGGAAGTTGTTTATATCCCTCGACATCTAATTTGTATTAGCCACAGTTTCGTATTTTAGAAAGGTGTATTTTAGTACGCATTTCGATGCTATGACGGCTTGTGAATATTCACAAAATTAATGTTTGAATATGTTTTACAAAGATTTATCAAGAGTTTGACGTGAAACTGGATTTATTGCCAGTTACACATTTTTTAATTGCATGTACCTTGAATTCATAAAATATAGAACACTTATAAATGCATACAACAGGTACATGTATGTTAATTTGCTGCAAATAGATACTATGTTGTTTAAATATACAACACTAAAATAAAGCAGTGTTGTTCATGCGTAACAAAAAACACCAAATGAATATTAAAATATGTAAACAAGTTAAAAATAATAAATTCTACTCCCAGACCATCAAAATATAAAATTATTTTGCGAGATTGCAGACCTGGTTATCTTGGACCAAACTGTTCACATGAATGCAGATACCCAAACTATGGTTATGACTGTCAAAATAATTGTGCCTGCAACGAAGAGATTTGCAATCCTGCATCTGGATGTCCGAAAGTAACAGGTAATTTTCTTTTTTCATAATTTTCTTAGTGGTATTTTTTTAAGTCTTTTAAACATTGCTTGAAAATATACTAGAAGGAAAAATAAACGCAAAGTAATTATAAAACTTTGGCAGTAAATAAGAGCCGTTATTGCATATGTATTTTCCAGTTAATATCAAACATTTAATTCCATCTTTATTCAACAAGTTTCCGATATCTTTCGTGATTTTGGCTGATAGTACATGAGTTAATGAACTTCCCACGACAGTACCCCTGCAGTACAATTAAGGTGACAATTATCGCCGATTTTTTTTTTAATTAAAGATTCTATGCTCTATAAAGATGAACGATTCCCATTGAGACATTACTGACATCCGAAAATACAATGTGGTTCAAATCTACATGCTTGTCACGTGATTATGGCAAATGTACTTGGAGTTTCGAAGTCATCTATAAATTCAAATATTGCACAAGGATAACCAAGTTAAAATTCTTTGTTTATTTTATGATTTTTTGATGCTACTTGTGTTTTGTGAAAAGTGCTGCGAATCTATATAAATTCCACTATTTATTTGTTAATATTATTATTTGCTAATACTACACTTGTTAGACGGCAGATTGAATATTTTGTTTGTCACGTACGGGGTATTTTTATTACAAGATTTTAATGAATTTTGCAGCGCCTTTCAAATGAAGTTAATGTGTAAAAACTTGCATGGTACATTGAGAGTATGCCTTTGCAATAAAACGATTTATTAGGATCCTTCTATTACTTTTTCAATGAATCTGCATATAAATGAAGATACTCGGCCATATCACTTGTCTAGAGAATATACGGACAGTATTTGAATAAAATAGTTAAATTGATGTTGTATCCAAGATAACGGCTTTTAATTTAATTTTACTGCAAATAAAATTTTATTTGATAATGAAAGGCAATTTCTATTGTACAAACTGTGACTTCATCAACCTCTCACTCTGTACAAACTCCGTCAACTTCCACCAGATGACGTCATTTTGACAAGTGCATTTCAATAAACAAAGAGTTTATATTTTGCTGTGTGGGCTTTAACAAAACACAAAACTCCTTGTAATAGCAAGTTATGTTTTAATCTAGAGGTGTCTATAAGTTTAAAATCGCAAATAATTTCATTTTTTGACATAATATTTTGTGCCTTAAGGTATTTCACCCGACTGCTTTGAAGACAAGAGGCCCAAGGGCCACAGCGCTCACCTGAGCACATCGGGCTTGAATTTACTCCCCCCCCCCCATCAGGCATTCATCATTTGAACAAACTAGAATGTACACTACCTGAGGATGATTCCATATAAATATCACTAATCATAGCTTTGAAGTACTTGAAAAGAAGATCTTAAAAGATTTCCCTATATATCCCTATGTAAAACTTGGGTCGGCCATTTTGGCCCCACCCTAGCCCCGGGGGTCATGATTGGAACAAACTTGAATCTACACTACCTGAGGATGATTCCACATGAGTTTCATCTTTCCTGGCCCAGTGGTTCTTGAGAAGGATTTTTAAAGATATTTCCTATATATTCCTACGTAAAACTTGGGTCGGCCATTTTTGGCCCCATCCTTGCCCCGGGGGTCATGATTTAAACAAACTTGAATCTACACTACCTGAGGATGATTCCACATGAGTTTCATCTTTCCTGGCCCAGTAGTTCTGGAGAAGAAGATTTTTAACGATTTTTCCTATATATTCCTATGTAAAACTTGGGTCAGCCATTTTGGCCCCACCCTAGCCCCGGGGGTCAAGATTTGAATAAACTTGAATCTACACTACCTGAGGATGATTCCACATGAGTTTCATCTTTCCTGGCCCAGTGGTTCTGGAGAAGAAGATTTTTAAAGATTTTTCTTATATATTCCTATGCAAAACTTGGGTCGGTCATTTTGGCCCCACCCTTGCCCCGGGGGTCATGATTTGAACAAACTTAAATCTACACTACCTGAGGATGATTCCACATGAGTTTCATCTTTCCTGGCCCAGTGGTTCTGGAGAAGAAGATTTTTAAAGACTTTTCCTATATATTCCTATGTAAAACTTAGGTCGGCCATTTTGGCCCCACCCTTGCCCCGGGGGTCATGATTTGAACAAATTTGAATCTACACTACCTAAGGATGCTTCCACATGAGTTTCATCGTTCCTGGCCCAGCGGTTCTGGAGAAGAAGATTTTTTAAAAATGCCATTAAATTTTAACAAATTCATGATTATCTCCCCTTGGAAAAGGTCGTGGCCCTTCATTTGAACAAACTTGAATTCCCTTCACCCAAGGATACCTTGTGCCAAGTTTGGTTGAAATTGGCCCAGTGGTTCTTGAGAAGAAGATGAAAATGTGAAAAGTTTACGACAACAACGACAACGACAACGACAACAACGACAACAACGACGACAGACAACGGACAAATTTTGATCAGAAAAGCTCACTTGAGCCTTCGGCTCAGGTGAGCTAAAAAGTTCAGAAAGAACACATTACTTCAAAACCTTGTATTATAATACGTAATATCGCGATTACCTCACAGTTATCTAACTTACTACTGCTCTTCTGCGGGGGAGCCGAGAAAGCTGAAATCTCACGAGATTCCCGGGGCACATGGCATTGATAACAGTAGTGTCAATCGAATGATTTGAACATTTTTATGCCGAAAGTACAATGTATTGCCAAGAATTGATTTCCAAATAGTAGATTGTCAAATAAGGAAAGTTTAGATTACTTTATCAGCTTTAAAATACCACGATTTTCAATGAAAATTTAATGAGAAGACTTAAAAATATCGTAAAAAATGTAACATTTAAGGATTAGCTCCTCTCAAAGATTAATTAGGCTGGTTCAGCGATTGTTAAGGAAGGTATTCCACCAGGATTTTTTACTTATCTGTCCTTATAAATTCTACAATGATCAATCTTGCATTGTATTCAATAGCACATTTGTCCCCAGCCAACAGACGTTCCCTACCTCCATCGCGAAAGAGTTCCACTAAGTTAAGTAATCGCGATATCAAGTATTAATTTTCCTGACATATTTAAATTAAATAACGTTAATTATTATATATTCAAGGAAAAAAATCACTTAAAAAATCACAAAGAAACAAAACTGATGAGGGATTTTTTCTTGTGGTGTAAAGGTTTTTATCAGAAAATTCCGCAAATTTGCACATTTATTCAATTTACCCACACATACTTTTACTCAAAGAATTTATTTATGTAATGATAGAAACTTTAAGAATATGGGTCTCAATTCATATATCTAGAACATTTTTAGAACAAAAACACATTCCCTCAACAAACTTTGCCGAGAAATGAGATATATATATAAGAATTTTAAAATACAAAATTTACACACTTGTCTGAAAATCGCATATTTTGACCAATATTTAAAAATCTACATCACTGTCCTCGAATTTTCCTTTTGTATAATAAATAATTTATAAACATTAATTTGCAATATTTCTTCAGTAATATTCAAACTATTTTACATAAAAAAGATTGTAATTATTAACAATTTTTATATCAAATTGAATATGATAAAGGTAAATTGATTGAAAACAAAGCTAAAATTTAAGTGCCTAAAAGTCAATTTGATTGTACCGTACATGTAGCTGAGTACGTTACAAAATGACCCCCTTTTTTCTCTGCGATTTGGAGTCATAGTATATGAGTACGAGGGGTGATCAAAAAGTTCGCGAACTAATTGGATAACTTCCATAAATGAAGCAATATTTGGTTTCAGTGTTGATTATATTTTAAATTAGTTTTCTCCAATTTTAATGCACATCTGCCATCGTTCTGCTGATGCGCGAATCACGTGATATGGGCAGTCACGTGACCCCCTCCAAAGCGTTCTGTCACAAAAGCTGAAAGATTTTTCCGAGTTTTATATTTCTTTACATGTAAGTTAATTTTTTAAACAAGAACAGTTCATCTGTCAAAAATCGCCACATCTGAGCAACAGAATGAGTGGATAAGATATTCTTTCCCAAATTGAGCGTGGCGACCATCAAAACTCAAATTCTCTGTCTCGGGAGAGTCGTTTTTATAAGGTGGATAAAGTATGGGTGCCTACTTATAATCATATCTAATTTGTTAAAAATGAAAAGTAAACGATATCTTAGGTATTTAATAATTATATTTTTGTCGAGATATTCAACTATTTTCCAAACTGTAAATTAGACGTGTTTGATAACAACTTAATTAATTAAAAACACATCTCTTTCCAAACTTGCTTTCACTGGGCAACAAAACAAATATCATTTTAACCATCTGCATTCCTTCACTTAAACGATAAATCCAATCATTGATTGAATCTTTAGGAAGTCTGTTTTCTTAATAAACTGTGTACAAATTATCATATGCTACTGTAAAGGAGTTTCTAAAATAAACCATAAAATTTTACAGTTATTCGTTGAAAGAGTACAACTGAGACAACCATTTTTCATCACGAGTGATCTCCATAGTGACGTCATTTTCACATTGTGACGTCACAAACAAAAAGCTAAACTTTATTCAGCAAATGCTATTTATAGAACCTGTGTATGGTAATATGTTTACCAAATTTTTCTCTAATCTGAATTGTGGTTTTGTAGATATAGAGATAGTTCGCGAATTTTTTGATCACCTCTCGTACTTTTCAAAATATAATTCTTATCAAAATCCTTAATTTAACATATTTCACGAGTGACGTACATACATGTTCCTTAACTGTTTTTGCACCGAATCAGTGAAAGTAAAATTCTCATCATCTCCCTTGTGCATCTGTAAAAATCTTGAATTTCCTGTGCAAGGAGTTTAGTGAATTTAAAAGGTGTAAATATATCATGCTCTTACAATCTACGCGGGCGCAGAAATTCTAATGAAACGTCACATCTCTCAGTTTTGTTGACGGCACATGCACATGTTAAGGTACATGTATAAAATAATTGTTGTAGGTATTTGAAGAAGGGAGTTGGATTGATTGAGGTAATGGATTAGATTGTCATTATCCCAATCAAAGCAAATATCAATTCTAATTAAATCATTCGATGTAACTAATTAGATATTAAATCTACTTGCATATGCAGATCTAGTTATAATTTCATACTTATCTTATTGATACGTTAAATTCATCAAACTCCCTTTGATATAAGAATCTTACCTCCAAATTTTTCAATGTACAATAAATACATTGAGTATGTCCTATTGATTGATTGATTGCATACTGTATAATGTCCCTCTCCAGAATATTTCACTGATATGGGGACGTCACCATTGCCAGTGAAGGGCTGCAAATTTAGGCCTATGCTCGGCACTTACGGTCACTTATGAGCAAGGAGGGATTTTTATCGTGCCACACCTGTTGTGAAACGGGGCCTCGGTTTATACGGTCTCATCCGAAAGACCGCCCCAATTAGTCGCCTTTACGACAAGCAAGAGTGTACTGAGGACATACAAGTTGATGAAAAAAGAATATCATCAGTCTCGTTTAAAGTCATAATTTCGTAAATTCTATGGTCGATACAATGACGTTGTCAGCAAATACATTTAACATTCAGTATAATAGTGACAGACCGTTTTCATACTCATTGTTAGACCATTATTAATACACTGAAATGACGAAAAAAAATTCTGTTTTTCCCAATCATGACAAGGAGCACACATGACCGGTCGGCAGGGGATGCTCACTTCTCCATGGCACCTGATCCCATCTCTGATGTTTTGGAGGTCCGTGTTTGCCCTACTCCTACTTTGTATTGTTCTATGGACTAGTGAAACAAAATAAATATTGAAAATGTTCGCGGTTTTCTAGGACAACCGTCTTACATGTAAGGTGTTTTGCATCTTTTTTGTATATTTTAACAGATTCATTTCTTCGTATGAATCATTCACGGGATTCAACAATGGGCACAAATAAGGCTGAAGTCAGTTCAACAATAAGAAAGACGGAAGGAATAACAGGTATCATATTTAAAAAATCAATAAAAAGGCTTGCACTTATAACAGATGAGTTTTAAGGTATATATTCAAGATAAAATGGATGAGTATTGAAGACTTTTGAGTCATTTTAAGATAGCTAATGCATGTATGTATCGCCAGATACATGTACTAGTAACAAATAAACGAAATTTACATAATTGATAAGATTTGCATCTCGGGTGTTTTTAATGACATATCTGCCCTTTATGATAGGAAAAACAGTAAATGCTTTTGTCACAATATCTGTGGGAGATTTATCAGATTGACAATATCTACGAGGGTTGTCCCGTAAAATCATGGACTAGTTGTCTCGCGTAAATAATCATGATCACTGCGATCTGAAATTTTCACCAACCCTATGTATGAATTTTCTGAATAAGCATAGCAAATTTCAAATAGATAATATATGCATAAATAAACAAATTATGTGATTTTTTGTTAAAGTCACGTCGGGAGTTGCTACTTACACGACATTATTCTTTTCATCCGTTTTTCATGTTACATTTCTAGTATACTTCTGATAATAAACATGTGAAGTAATATATTGAAATAAAGGTTTTTTTTTTTTTTTTTTTTTTTTTAATCTTTATTTTCAACTACAACTGAACTTGGGATAATATATCCTAAGATATTCCCGGCTAATCCTCACCTATGGTGCCAGGGGCCCATTGGATTGGATAAATTATATCTTATATGTGGATATGTATATGTAATATAAATAAATATATATAAATATATAGACATAGAAATTATACATATATGATATGAATCGGAAAGATGCACTACCTTATAAATATAAAAATATGCAAATATTTGATTTTACAAAAAATAATAATAAATAAATAGATAAATAATTGAATAATAACAATTAAGTCTCGCTGCCATGGGGTACATCTTCCACCTCACAGAGTCCATAATAGTTACCCCCACCTGGCAGCACTACTGAAGGACAGACCCCTTCAGATAGTCAGACTATTATTATCACAAAGCTATCGAAATATCATAGAACCATTTATATGTAAAGTTTACATCTAATTTTTTATAAATCTCATATTGATACATAAGGTTTGCCTTTACATAATACAAGATATCATTTATATTTTCTTCTCTGTTTTCATATCTTAGCTTTATTTTTATCTTATATATAAAAAATGCTATGTAAGATAATAAATAATTCAATGAAATAGTGGTTTTGTTTTCTTCATAGAAAAAAACCAATACAATAGTTTTCCATTTTATATTCAAATTCAGACGGTTTTCTATATTTTCCCCAAATCATTTCTACATTTCTACAATCAAAAATTTGATGTTTTGTATCTTCAAGTGATTCACAAAAAGGACATTTATTCGATACATTTCTATTCCATTTGTGAACATTTTTGTTATTATTTAGTAGATTTTGTAATAGCTTATAATAAATTCTGCTAATTGTTTATCTTTTATTTCGTAATTTTTGATTGATAGATGCGTGTCTTGTTTTCCTCAAAGTTAAAGCTAAAGCTTCTCGACCAATATTTCTCGGAGTAAGGTTTTATAAAAGTTTTTTTTAGAAAAATGTCATATATTATTTTACTACTTATCAGGTTTATCGGTAATCTTTGTTTATTTTCTAACATAATCATCGTCTTATTTTTTATGTTTATATAGGCTCCTTTTGAAACATCATGATGTTTCTGTATAGGTTTTACAACTTTTTTTAAAATATTGTATTCACTGATTATGTTGGATTTGTTTACAAGAATATTTTGAAAATAATTGATATCATGGAAGTTTCCGTTTTCGTCAAACAAGTCCTTAATATGTAAAATCCCACTTTTTATCCAATTGGTGTAGAAAAGACTTTTATCATTAAATCGAACCAGGTTGTTCAACCATATAGGTAGAGACAATATTTCATTATCGGTTATCTCCCTTATATTGTGTTTTTTATATTTACAATCGTTCAATGTACTGAAAATTTCACAGTAGAAAATTGGTACAGTGCTGCTATCCCACAAGTTGACTAGGATAGGATCGGATAGGATTCAGGATTGAGGATTCACGATAGAAACATATAGAAATTAATCCAATCCTATCCTATCCTATCCTATCCTGTATCCTACAGCCAATCAGATTCGAGCAAAGGTTAATTCATATTTCAGAATAAATTACAAAAACGAAATACGGTATAAAATGTTTACAATAGAAATATTTATAATTTTTTCAAAAGAAAATAAAACATTCTTTTCTCTTAACACATATTTACATTATAAACTTCGAGTAACACGGCGTACGATCTAACCGTGAACGATCACCGGAAGATTTGGGAATGTAAACAACGAAGAGCCCAGGCATCGAAAGACAGTATTTCTTCAGCTTGTTTGGATGATTTAACCGATTCTTACTTGTGTAAAAGTGTATTAACATGTTTTTCTGTTAAATATGCTCTGTTTGTTTGGATAATTCCACAGGAACCGTCAGCAGCGGACTTGAATAGATGATGTGCTATATCATGTAAGTATACTTCACACTGCACACAGTATGTGTGCATTTTTATACACATTTATCGCTTTAAACAGTGTTCTCATGTCCTAAAATATAAAAATTTTATTCTTTTTATTAATATAAACAAAAATCGGGTGCGAGAAAAACGGAGTAGTGTAGACAGAAGTGCGGGGGGAGGGGGTGTTAATATTTACAAATACTCTGTCTTATGATTGATCATTCAATCAGATATCAAATATCAATGAGCTCTAAGACTAAAACAATCATATGTATTATGCCTAAATCAGGTTGTTACTCTTTTCATTTCCCTAATAAGGTCAGAAAATAGTTTTTTTTTTATTTCTGTGTAATTAATAATAAATGAATGTAGAATCATCATGAACATTTCTAATGCTTCTAGTCGCCCGCGTGGCGCAGTGGTTAGAGCGTCTGCTCTAGAGTCGCGAAGTAAGGAGTCATTCCTTACCTTGCGGGTTCGAATCCCACTGCGGGACTAGAGACCGGTCCTTCGGATGAGACCGTATAAACCGAGGTCCCGTGTCGCAGTAGGTATTGGCACGAAAAAGATCCCTCACTGCTCAAAGGCCCTGAGTGCCGAGCATAGGACAATATTTGTAGCCCTCCACCGGCAAGTGGTGGCGTCTCCATATGAGTGAAAAATTCTCGAGAGGGACGTTAAACAATATAAAAACAAACAATCTAATGCTTCTGCTTAAATTTTAATGAGCTCACTAAGCAGTGCACTTACATATTGTGCATGTATGTTTGATGTACTGTGCGTTATGAAACATAAGTTAATCTTGGCATTTTATTCATTACAGAAAATGGATTGTCTGCACTCATGCGTCATCGCAGTACAAGGATTTCAACCTAAAAAGTATGTATGATTTTATTTTTATCATGTATTTTTACATGGTCATTTAAATACATAAACATCATTATCTGAGTTGACGTGACATGTCTGCAGTTACTCGGAACAATTGATTTTTTTCTTTCAAAAATATTGAGAGTAAAACTAAAGGAAATGTTGAATTTTTCTGGTCATCATGTTATAGTATCATAGATTTTCATATTCAAATTTCAAGACCAAAAAAAAAAAAACCAAGAAAAAACATTAAATAGATAAAAACAAGCAGAAATAGAGAAAAGTCACTAAAACAAATGTATTCATACTTGTTAGAAAGTTGACAAGATAAAATGAATTATAATCTACAAGTAAATTATGTTGAATAATTTTTTTTTCTTTTATATGACTGAGGTTGCAGTATAAGATTTTATTTTTCATGATTTCTAAATGCATTACTTTTGGGAGAGAAAAAGGTGAAATTGTACATGAAATGTGAAAGATAGTCACAATCCAAAACATTTTAAACATGTTAAATGTGTATGAAATGTTTATGACAAAATTTACAATCAGCATGTCTATAATATCATTTTTTTTCCCAGAAACCCTGGACATTTACAGCTGTACAGAATGCAGTTCATGCCATATGCTGTTAGTGTAAATGATGAAAGATGTTCAAACCAGTGTCACAGAGTCCTAAGTCTGAAATCATGGTGTTTTTACTAAGGAGATCAGTGTGTTTTCTCTGCATTGTTGACATTTGAAGAACTGTTCGGTTTATGACCATCTCTCTGACAATAACTCTGACAATTTTAATTTCAATTTGAGCAACGGTTAAGAAAGCCAAATTCTATACATGTGAAACATTAAACAAGATTAATAAAACATTGATAAACTTTAATTTAAACAAAGTTCATGTACATGTATCTGTGATTTTAGCATTGAAATTCATAAATGCTGTACATGTATACTTTTAATGACTGTCTCATGGTAATGGAATATTCAATTGTTAAACATTGTTTAGGAATCACCTTGAATAAAAATATTGTGAACTTGATAAAGTATTTTTCCTCATTTAAAAACTGAAAATTTTAAGATCAAATGTCAAGGTCAAATACAAAGTTTACTCAAGAATGTGGTATAAATGCTGTGAGTACTGTGAATTCTTATGCATGTTTTGTAAGATCTAAGGAACATGTGGAGCATTTTAATATTTCTCAATCTGACACTGAACACGGATTAACATTCAAGATGAAAGGTCAAATATAAACTTGTTTTACTTAAGACTGAGTTATACATGTTTAAGATGGGAATTCTGAATTTCTCATGCATGTTTTATAAGATCTTAGAAACATGTGTGACCTTACTACAATATTTATTAATGTCAATCTGTCAACCAATATCAAATTTAGAAAAAAATATTCTATTAAACATAAATTATTAAATTTTCACACATAAAAAAATTGAAAATTGAAAATTACATTTGTACGGTGTTGAGCTGACCATATAAAATGAGGAGAAACTGAAGTGAAATGAAAAATTATAACAATTAGATTATCTTGAATTTAGCAACTATATATTTTGCATATTTTAAAAATATCACATGCAATTATATATGATGAACTGAAATTTAAAAAAAAATAAATTACTGAGTTTAAATTTTAAAAAAATCATACAATTAATATTGATTTTATAAGACAATTTCACATTTGAAATGTTTGATATGTGAAATTCAAGATATTCTAGATCTACATTTGACTTGTCTGTTTGGTCTAGTCATATATTTTCTTTCAGAATTGCATACAGAAAAATCTGTCACACAGGCACAGTTAGACTAAATCTATACAATTCATGTACATGCATGTTATTTTCATGGTGCTTTCTTTAGGAAAAAAAAATTTTTACATGAAAAAAATATACTTAAACATTATTACTATATAGGCATATGATTTTTTAAAATAAAGAAATATTACGCATTGGACGCAAGTCGCGATCCCGGGTCTCGCGAATATTGTAAGTAGGAAATTTAAAACACCAAGTATATTTTTCTTTAATTCTTCTGATAGGCCAATTTCTTTTCATATGTTTGCAAAATCAGTATTTGTCCACGTGTAATTACGATCTTTTTGTTAACATTATTTTTCAACATGGTTATGATATTCGTAAATTTAATTTGTGCTGAGCGGTTAGTCGGGAATTAGGGAATGCCGATCTCGATTATTTTTCTCCATTAAAATGTCTAACATTTAAATGAATACCATAACTATATCTGATTTTATTTTATTTTCTGGTAATTCCTTTTTTTCGTTTTGTCAATTTAATTCCTAAATATTAAAAAACTGAGAATTGCAGGATAGGATAGGATAGGATTAGACTGAAATTACAGGATAGGATTGTGGATGCAGGATTCACGATAGGATAGGATAGAATTGTCAACTTGTAGGATAGCAGCACTGTAATGACTTAAATATTTGTTTTATTTCACCTGTACTTGTTATATTTGTCCTAATAAGATACTCTGGTGAAACGAATTTTCTCGCAACACAAGATATAAAGAAGGACTTTAAAGATGAATTTTTTTCGTTGAAAATTCGTGTAACCCATGCGACCTTGAGCGCTTTCAGTTTACAATCAATGTCATCAATTCCTATCACTCCTTCATTCTGTTTTCCGATTAATGTATTTCTTTTTATCCGTTCTCTTTTTCCCCATAGAAAATTGAAGACTGTTTTCTTTATTTTCTTAATTGTTTTGTTTTTAGGATATTGCAAAATAGATGCACTATAGTAAATTTGTGTTAATGCTAAAGTATTAATGACAGTACTTTTTCCATATATAGTTAACTTTCTGGTGTTCCACATTGTGAGTCGTTTTTTCTAATTTATCGACTTTTTCTGTCCAGTTTTTTTTTCATAGCACTGGTCAGAATCATGACCTATATATATTTCTAAGCATTTTACAGGTGCATTAGTAATATATATATATCGTATAATTTATCATATCTGTTTTTCAAGGGCCCTAATAATATTCCTTTAGATTTATTCTTATTAAGTTGCATTCCTGATATTTTGCCAAATTGTTCAATTATCTTTATTGCGTTTTCTATAGATTTTATATCTTGTAAAAAGAGCTATGTATCGTCTGCGTGTTGAAGGATTTTTATTTCTTTGGGCATAAATTCATTAGTAAAACCTTGTACTTCTGGTGAATTGTGTAATTTTATTGAAATTATTTCTACAATAAATAAAAATAGCAATGCTGAGATTGGACATCCTTGTCGAATTCCTTTCGTCATTTTACAGGTTCTAGACATCCATCCATTATTTTTGATACGAAATACGGGCTTTGTATAAAGAATTTTCATCCATTTTATGAATTGATCTCCAAAGTTGAATTTATCTAAAGTGCTGAACATAAAGTTCCATTCAACAGAATCAAAAGCTTTTTGAAAATCAAGAAGTAAGATTGCTCCTTCTTTTTGGTTCGCTTCACAGTATTCAAATATATCAAGTAAAAGTCTTGCATTTTCACCAATATATCTACCTCTGATGTATGCAGATTGATCTTTATTAATCAATTTGTCTATAACTTTCTGAAGTCTGATAGCGAAAATGTGTGTTAATATTTTGTAATCACAGTTTGTTAAACTAATAGGTCTATCGTTTCTGAGATCGTTCTTTTCTCCTTTTTTATGTATCAGAGAAATAATTGATAATTTTTGCGAAAAAGTCATTTCCTCCTTTTCAGATGTCTTATTTAGTGATTCATAAAAATATTTTTTAATATAGTTCCAAAATATTTTATAGAATTCGACGGGTAACCCATCAGAGCCAGGAGATTTGTTGTTTTTCATTTGTTTTATGGCCTGCGCACATTCAGAAATCGTGGGAAGTTCATCACACATCTCTCTTTCTTGAATAGTTAATTGAGGACATTCACAATCTTCTAAATATTCTTTTATGTTTTCTACTCGGACCTGTTTTGTTGAATATAGATTTTCATAAAAATTACAAAGTGACTCCATGATGTCTTCAGTTTTATTTAGTAATTTATTTTCTTTTTTAATTTCATGTATCGTATTTGCCGATTGATTTTTTCTTTCTAATCTGAAAAAGTATGATGTATTTTTCCCCATTTTCTATCCAGTTTGCTTTTGATCTAATAAATGCACCCTTAGTAGTTTTAGCATAAATTTCGTCTAATTCTGTTTCAAGAATTTTTTTCCTTCTCATGTCCATTAAGTAGTGCGGAGACGTTTCAATATTTTCTATTTCTTTTTCTGTTTCTGTGATTCTTTGTTTTCTATTAAGACTTTTTTGTGTTGAAAAATTTATTGAAAACTCTTTGATGATAGATTTAACCTTTTCCCATCTTATTTGATGATCTATTACACCTTCCAATTCTTGTTGTTTATTTTTCAACAATTCCCTTAACTCAGACGTATAATTTGGGTCAATTAGTAGCGAGGTATTTAGTTTCCAGTAACCTTGACCTCTTGCTTCTTTATTCATTGAAAGATTTAATCTAATCGAAAGATGATCTGAACTTCTATTACCTTGCGTATTAGGAGCTTTTCTAAGAAAAACACTTTTGACAAATCTAACTCAAAAGTTTTAGACAAAAATACAAAATCTATTCTACTTTTTGGTATTCCGTTTCCGTCAAACCAAGTGAATCCTTGTTTTTCTTTATTTTTTGTCTTCCATGTATCAATCAAATTTAAATAAGTTAGCATATCTTCTAACTGTTTTGAGCTTTTATCATTATTTGTTGATTGTGTATTATGTCTGTCCTGTTTTTTAAGTACTGTATTAAAATCGCCTGCAAGCATTATGTTGTTTTCATTCATTGCTAACCTATAAATCCACGTTTTTAATTTTTTGAAAAAATCTATTCTACTTTTATCATAGTTTGGTGCGTATACGTTTACAAGGGTGATGACTGAGTCATTTACTTTTAGATTAACCAAAAGTTTACGGCCATCTAAAGATCTATGCACATTAAATTTTACTATTTCAAAGTTAAATTTCTTATGAAAAAGAATAGATACTCCTCTGCTATGTGCAGAATCTGTATTTGAATGTATGGATGTGCCATACCATCTTGAATCATATTTAAAGTTATTTTTTTCGCAAAAGTGCGTCTCTTGTAGAAAAATAATATCTATATTGTTGTCATTAAACCATTGATATAATGTATTTCTCTTATCATAACCATTTAACCCTCTAACATTCAGGGTAATACACTTTATGTATTCCATATTGAAAAAAGTAGACAAAGAGAGAATGATTGTGCATAATTAAACATATAAGCATGCATAGCTAAGAATTGTTATTTATTATGGGTAGCCGGGCGAGGTAGCCCAGATCTGACCCTGTTTTTCGGTTTTTTCTTTATTTCCGTGGCTATGCGTCCAAGAATCTGTCCCAGAACATTTTTTCCGGGCCACGCTGTGGGTTTAGAACGCTTCGATTGATTAAGGTTGAGGCCTGTTGCCCAAAAATCGTCGTAAGTAGTTTCGGCGAAGACGACATTTTTGGGTGAATTTTCAAGAGAGTCACGGAAATCCTCTACTTGTTCTGATTTTTTCGAAATAATTTCTTCCATTACTTCCACTTGTATGGAAATCCAGGTATCGGATGCCGTAATTAGGTTGCCAATTCTTTTGGACTCAAGTGCCGACTCCGCAGCTCGGATTTTATCTGCAGCCATCAGATCTCCGGATCGAATAGCTTTGACACACTGGAAGGCTTGTTCAGCAGAATTGAATTTTTCGCCAAAGACAGAGAGTTGACACGGATAGAAATTTGATAACACGTTCTCTTCACCATGAAAGAGAATACAGTTATTCGGACATTTTTTTGAGTAGTTCGGACACTGCTCATCTCCCGGGGAATGTCCCGGCTGAAGACAAATTTTGAACTTGGATTCCTCCGAGTCTATTGTAAACTGTCAAATGACATAAATAATAAACTGTCAATCATATGTCCTAAACATCGAGAGAAAAATAAAACTCTAATCTCAAGATGGAAGCATTATCTAAACCTGTTTATCTAAAAAACAGTGAAATTCAAATGAACAGAAACAAAAGAATATCTGATTTTGAGCTTATGCAAAGTGTGATTCGGTCCGTCGGGGATATGGTACGATGCATACAGCTCGACCGTGACCTCTGGCGAATATATTTGATCGATGATCAAAGCAAACAAACATTGCTGGCGCAAGGGGTTGACATCAATGATCAAAACTTTAATGTCTATGACCATAATCCTTACACAACAGGCTCAAAATCCCCTGCAGATAGAGTTCTCAAAGTCACTGTGTCTGGCGTGCCTCTCTCTGTAGATGACAATGAAATTTTGGCAATGCTTACTAAAGTAGGTACAAACCTAAAAAGCGATCTACAATATGAAAAAATAAGAAATCCGTGACCAAAAAAATGACTGGTGTGTTGAATGGCAACAGATATATCTACATAGAGCCTTTCGCAGATAACAAATTCCTACCCCGCACGAGCTACTGCGCAGGAATTCAGTGCCACATCTATCACTTTGGTCAACCAAAACCGCCAAAAAGAAAATGTCGCATTTGCTGGAGTTCGGATCACCCAACCAATGAAATAAAGGGTTATTTCTCGCCAATAGCATTTTCAAAAATAAAAATATTCACACCTCCTAACCTTATTAATATTCAGGGTCATAAACCCAAGGGAACATTCATTGCATCAGATTTTTTCTTTAAACAAGGAAAGACAACTCAAGATTTTTAATGGTATAGTCAGTTTCTTTTATCAATCAATACACATTTAAAATGTGATTAATTGGAGGGAAAAAAGAAAATGTATTGTGAGATATATGTTTTATTTCATTAACATCACTTCTGATTAAAGTTTATGTTGAATGAGTATAACATTAACACACAGTCTATTTTCAGTATAAAATACTGCTTATGTATATAAATATGTTCACTAAATTTCTGTTTAAGGAATACAGGTAAATTGATTTTCAAGTATGCACTGTACCTGATTTCACATAAGCTACATATCTGCAGCTACTATTACATGTAAATATTTCTGGAAGGTATCTATCTACATAATTATACATGTATTCAGTTATCAATTTTTTTTTTGTTAAATGAATTCAACAAAAATAAATTAAACTGATATGCACACCATTTATATATCATGACTCATATTGGAAAAAAAGACAAAGTAAACAAACAGCATGCAATCATGTTTGTATTTACAAGAAATTTACTAAGCACTACATGTAGACAGACAATGAAATATTCAACAACAAATAAGTTGTATATTACAGGACGTATGTTATAATAAAGATAAAGCTGTTTAAAAATGAAGTAGAAATTTATAAAACAATATTTAGATATTGGCAAGAGCGTCTGCTCGAGAGTCATGAGTAAGGAGTTGATCATTAAATTGCTGGTTCGAAATCCCACTGTCGTACATAGAGAAAAGACTGAATATACAGAGGTCCTGTGTTGCAGTAGGTGCTTGCACCAAAAAGATCCCTCATTGCCAAATTAGCCATCTGTGCTAAGTAAAGGACAAAATTTGCACCTCTCCACCGACAAATGTTGGCATCCTCATGAATGAAAAATTCTCAAGAAGAACGTTAAGAAACAAACAATAAACAAAAGCGTCTTTGAATATGCAAATTCTTTTTTCTTAGAAAGGATTCCTCAAATGAACTGTATCATCCCATGCAGTCTTCATGAATTCAGCAACCATTTGTTATATGGCCTGAAAATATAAAATGTTAATACATTAATATAAAAGTATATGATTGATATATTTATAATTCATCTTAACTTAATTAATCAATAAAATAAAGTCACAATTAATATCTTGAAAGGCTTATTGGACTGCTGAAAAACTGAGATATCCAAGAGATTCAGGGTAAGATATATAGAACAAAAAATGTGGACTTTAAAATGACTCTGATATCTCAATGTGTTCAAGATATCACTCAGTGTTTAAGATATATACCAAAGTTAAACTCTAAATAAAATTCATATATGCCATTTACGGTTGCAAATTCAATCTATCATTGTTCATTAATAATCTGCATGAGAAAGAGATCTGCGTAAAATGAGCTTATTATTGACAAAAATAAAACATGCAATGCAAAGTGTTTGCAAATCATTCATCCAATTTGTAATATACTGTCATGAACGTCAACATACCCTAGGTAGTTAAAGTTGTTTGATTTTAAGATACATGTGTACTGTTGTTTAACTGTACTTAATTAGACTGCACTGCATTCACTTGATTTCCATCAGCACACATTTTTCACATTTATCATCCATCATTTATTATTATGATGAGAGTTATGCCCCTTTTCTATAACCCCCAAAATATTGCTTTCTCTCTGAAAATTGTAGCTATTTGACCTTATCTACATGTAGTTTATGAGCTCTGCAGATTATTCATAACCAGCTATTCTAAGTTGCAGTTAGTTTGATATTGAAAGATTAATTGAAAGATTGAAATTCAAGATATTAACTAAAGTCTCCTTAAAATAGGAATTTAAATTATGAAAACTGAAATTATTTTAATCTCTACTTAATTCAATTTAAAAGCCAAGAAATAAACAAAATGATTTGCCAATATTTACAAAGGACTTTCTGTCTCTAATTATGGCACATCCAGTACCCTTGATTTTGGGATTCTGTACTATGATGTATTTGTTAAAAAAAATGATGATGCATCGCGGCTCTGATAATCTAATAAGATTTTATAAAAAGCCTTAAATATTCCAGAATAAAACTTTGACTCCCCTCCCCACTGTGGCACCACCCCACCCTTTACCTGTATGATCTGAACAAATCTAAATCTGCTCTGAACTATCTCAGAGTGACTTATCATGACTTGCCTATTCTTGAAAAGAATTGATTTAATTTTTTTTGTCTACGGATTACTTTTGTTCTCTCTATTTTATTGCTTTACTCTATTTACATCAATAACATATCATCACCATTATCAGCGTACCTTCTCTTTGGCCTTGACATCCTTTCCTATTCTCATGGTTGAAGCTTTCATCAGACAATTTGTATTGTTACAGCTGAACTACAATTATGATTAATGAATTTATACAATCCTCTAAATTTAATTAATGCAAATAAAATACATGCATTTGCAATTATGTGAAAAAACTGAATGAAAAATACTGACAAATATCATTGCACTACATGCAAATCAGAAAAATATGAAAATCATTTTAAGGTTACATAATATACTGATTTATGTATTGGCATAATTTTCAGTTCATTAAATTGTTTGCTGAAACATAAAACCAACTGTATTTATACTGTCCCTTTCAATGGATTTTTTTCTGCCTTTGAACTTACATGTACTGTTATGCAAACGATGTGAGAATTTTTCCACCCATTCATTATTATTAAAGGATCTACTGAAAATTGAACAGAATGTGATTAAATCTTTGAGCATTAAACGAAAACAAAAATCACTGATCATGCATTATTTTCAATTATATTGACCCTTTTTATCAACATCAACATCTCTCTCTCTCTCTCTCTCTCTCTCTCTCTCTCTCTCTCTATCTATATAAAAAATAACTTTACACAGGATTCTTTTATACATTAATATGTACATGTATATATTGGAGTAATTGGGCATGCTTCATATTTTTTCTTTGTTTATTCCACACAGCATGATCAGGATGAAAATAATTAAATACTAGTTATAATATTGCATATTATACACTTATTCAATGGTTGTGAGTGGGATAGCTCTTTTATCAAACCTGCGACAGGGAACTATTCCCCGAGGGCTTGCCCGAGGGGAATAGTTCCTGTCAAGGGTTTGATGAAAGAGCTATCCCACTAGCAGCCATTGGATAAATGTTTTATTATACTGATGTATAATACAATTTTTGAGTTTTGAACTTTTTTTGAGTAAGATAATACTATAAGAATAATCTGACATCATGATGACGTCACAATGCTACTGAAGTCATTATGACATCATCAGTCAATATATTTATCGCTGGAAATCAAAATTTGGTGGCAAAAATTGCACGAAAATTTTCCGAGGGTGGATAGCAAAAACTATACCCCGGGGTATAGCTTTGCTATGCGTGGACTATCAAAGATAGCTATTTTACCTTCTTAACTTTATATAGGAAACATTTTAACAGAAGTATAATAATAAATGTTATAAGTTTATCCTTCCAGTTACATGTACAATACTCACAACAGGCAAACCTTGAACGTTCACATCGCTGTCTTCAGAGTATATCCTGCAAGAAACATTCATTGCACATTATAATTGTTTGGATTTGATTTTTCTTTTTCATATATTTGCCTTTTTTTAAAAATGAAATTATAATTTATGTGCATACATTTAGTACAGTATCATGGGCATACATATGGCAGATCATTTTTAAATTCAATCAACAATTCCATTCTTCAAAAGAATAGATATACATTGTATACATGTAAAGGTCAGTAATGCCCATGTTTTTAAAAGTGGAAAAAAAATACTTTCTTGTGTATGTGATTTGTGTGGGATGGTGCATATCATAAAAAAAAAAAGCAAACAACAAAAAGGATGTCTCCATAGCTGACTTTACAATGCAAGGCTAAAAAATAATTGATTACCCCCTGGACTGGGGTCAGTGAATTAGTAGTAGCCTAGTGGGGTAGTGATACTCTGATGAGCTGACTAGTAAAAAACCTGAGTGAGCAGTGAAAGAAATTTTTTCTAGCCCTACAATGATTTCACATTTGTCTTACATCATATATATATATATATATATATATATATATATATATATATATATATATACATTTTCTAAATTCAATAATGTTTGCTTATGACCTTATAGGGTCAATTGTATTATTTTTGTCATACCTGGAGATGGCTGTTCAAGATGTACTCTAACCTGCAATAGACAACAAAAAAGAAAAATATTTTTCATGTATAAAATTAGATACATGTATTCTTACAAACAAAAATGCAAAACATCAATGTAAATTTAATATGTTTAAATCAACACAGACACAAATTGATGCAAGTCTGTAATTTATTATACCCCCCGCTTGAAAAGCGGGAGGGTATATTTTAAAAGTAATTGGTATTGTCTTTCCTTCTGTTACGCTTTGGGGTACCCATCTCTTATCCGCTAATTCCCCAGCTGATACCACTGAGTGATATTTGATGAGACTTTCACAGAATCTTTATTACATATTGCAATGGTGCATCTTCTATTTTACTTTTTGATCCGACACATATTTTCGGTTTCCCATAGTAAATCATGGACATTAATTTAGTGTCATGCAGAGCTCATTGCTCACAGTACCTCTAGTTTTATAATACTTATACTATCTCATTAGCTAAGTTTTAGATGGGCGATACTTTTAAAGGGAAAAAAGTGGTACAAATAGAAATATTCAAAAACTTTCATAAACTACACATGTGAAGTTTCATGTCTGATATATATACATAAGTATGTGAGAACTGCATGCATTGACTCATGTTGACATCATGCATCTGATCATAACATCTATGATATTAAATTAGAAAAGTATTAACCACCATTTTTGATCAGTAGGCTCTGGTGAAAACTGCATGATTGATATAAACAGCTGACACTATTAAAACTGCAAACAAATGTGAACAAACCTTTATATCCAGGTACACATGTATATGTGTAGAGGAAATTCGAAGAACTTGTGCATGTACACACGTGTATACGGATAGAATTAAATTTTAGTCTCTTGGTATTTAAAAAACACACAAATGGTTCTCACAAGTCACTGGGTATTGATAAGTAAAAATAATAATGACTTTTATGCGTAATTCTGCATATGCATGCATGGTAGACTACCTTACAAGTAGTTACGGCCTATGCGCACCTGCATTTTCTCTTCAATTTGAGACATGCTATTAACATCATTTGACAAACATGCCCTAAATATTTAGCCATTTTGTGCTACAGGTAACGGAAAAAAAAATAAATAAAATTTTACTTACGAGGGTTTTATTTACTAAATCAATGTATGTGGGTTAATCTTGACCGACACAAATACTCCCTTCCACGTGGAAACATGTTTACAAAATCGAGAGGTGTTGTTTTGACACTTTAAAGTGCAATAGCACTTGACAGAATGAGAAACCGTATACCTGCTTTCACTTTTCAAGTAAAGAATCGTTTGTTTTTCAACTTTTTGCAATTTACAAACCTTATAAATCGAGAAAACATAAAGTTTTACCTCTTTTTTCATGTTGAATTTCTCTCTCGATTTTCACCACTAGCATGTTGCTCCCGCTGAATTCTAGCGAGGAAAGCTGTTTGGACGTTTACGGATTTTGTTCATATTTGATTAAGTTTATCTCCGAATTCTTCCGATTTATGCTAATAAGGTTAGGAGGTGTGGTATTATTCCAAAGTTATCTATATATTGTCAGTACATTAAACACGGATATAACGTTAATTTCTACTTGTCTCGTTGTAACAGAGAAAAAAACAAACAAAAGAGTTTTTGCTCGGAAAAAATGACATATCTCTTTATAATTCGTGGAAATGTCACAGTATCGTTTAATTACATCACATTTCTACGGAACATTTTTGTTGAAAAACTATGTTTAGAGAATGGATACGATATCCACTGAAACAAAAGTCTTTTAGGATGTCCATTCAATGAAAATTAGTGCACCGCCTTTTCATGGGAATAAAAAGAAATTTTTGTTATTAAATTTACGATTTGATATACACTGAGCACTTTTAAACAACTAATTTTCCTCGAAAGATAATTAAAAGTCTCCATTGTAAACATTTCTTATAAAACATCATCCACATCCTGCAAATATATCCCGATGCGTAAATGACGTCATATCAAAAGTGTATTTGTTGATAGCTTATTGATTTATTCCGAATTCAGGAGGCAAAATTAATTCATTAAAATTTATATCAGTGGAAAGTATTTAAACTTAGTTTAGGTACATCAGAATGTAAGAAGAATCAGAATGTCTTGCGGATGTTTCCACTAGCTGGCTAAAATGACGTCTGACGTTCTTATAAATCACGATTCGGAGTTGTACGCCAATGTGCATTTCCTATGATTTTATGTACGGATTTTTGTACCAATCAAGTTTTACCTGTTAATTTTCGATCAGTACGTCTCTCTTTCTTTAGACTGCATTTTTCTAATTATTTTTTTCCCGAATGATCATGATGACACATACAAATGTAGTTTAATCTTTAATGTACTATGCTATTGTAGACTTTCAAAGTGTGGCATCATAACGAATAAACCACCATGACAGAAATTTAAAATAAATCGTCAAGATAAACTGCTTTAGTGGAAAAAAGTACATTTACCCAAGGTTCTGTCCACCATTTTAATTTATAATACTACCTTAAAGTCATTAATTATTCTCTTTTAAAATATATCTTTTATTATTTAAACATCAAAAAGGATCTATTTGGACGTCGTTTTGACGTTATAACGTTGAATATCAATTCTTGACGTTGCAACTATGTATTGTATTACCTTGCAGCATACGGATGATAACGTTAGTGTCTAAATCACCGTTACGTTTCATCTTTGCGCTACAAATAAAGTTGGACAAGTCCTACCTAAATTTAGGAATTTAATTGAGTTTAATCTCCATAAACAGCTGAGGAACCAATTAGACACAAACGTGCGATCTTCTGTGGATTTATTAGTATACATGTAAGTAATGGAAAATATTCCCACCGTCATTCAACTTATAGATATTGTTATATTGACTGTCAACAGTGACAGCGTCTTTTGCTATTATAATTTAGCCGTTTGTCCGTATGTTTTGTAGTACCTGGGGACTCGATCAAGAAAGACTTCACTAAGAAAACCCATTTCATTTCTATACGTAAGATCTGGTGATTTTGGGGGAATTTTTATCTTCTGTGTTCATTTTAAGTTTCTTACGGTGTTTTCACGCCGTCTAATCAAAGTGAACAGCTCTCCGGTGCTTTGTAACGTCATCAATCGTTACTATTTGTCGTTGTGTTCCATTATGAATGCTCAGGAAATTGCCAAAACATTAACCAAATGCTTTGAAAGTTTTAAAAAGTCAACCAAATAAATTGCAAAATCGAATAAGGATGATTTAAACTCCAATCTTTTATATTCTCTTTTTAAAAAAAACCTTCGTTTTTTGACCGCGCGCCGTTGATCCATTCCCTGTGCACATTCAATCATAATAAAATCTTAATTTTTGTCTAAATCTTATTTTAAAAAATGTGATTCTATGAAATATGATAAAGAGACATTCACTAAAAATTTCAGCTTTATGCGTCCATTAATTTTCGAGAGAAACGCTTTTCCACGATTATACCGGATAACCCTCGTGTGTGGTTTTTGGAGACCAGGTCTTCCAAGAATCTTAAAACGTAAGCATTTGTGCTCTTTACTTAATTTGCATAATTGTGTAATGTCATTTTTATTATATTTAAAAGAAAATGTGAAACCAGAAATCCATCCGTCAAAGATGCCACCTCTTCAAAAGGAAGCAGACATTTTACGTATTTGCATAGTCGTAGCCGGAACTGTTCTTTTCTCTCTGATCGTCGTTCACATTCGATTAAGTGTTCGCCATTATCTAACAACATGTACTGCAGCCAATGAGCGGAACAGCCTATATTAAACGTCTTCGTATATCCAAAAGAAAAAAAAAACTTGATAGCAAACCAGACTTTATTGTTTGTATATTTTATTTCAAATTTATTGCTATTTATTATCTTCAACTTCTGCATCACGAAACTACAACAGTTGCAAAATTTATTCAGTAAGTATGTGAATAAAGTGTATTAAACTTCTCTTTTAGAGTTCTTTTATTATTTGTTTGAAATCATTGATGACTAAACTAAAACTGTCAGACACATAGACACCGATATAAAACTTCTATAATGTAGGTTGAAAATTCACTAGAATAAATGAAATAAATAATCAAAGTATAAAATATCTGATTTCTTTTGCAGTAAAATTAACTATCTAATTTAAGAAAACAGAATCTTTAAAGAGATTGAGTACTGAAAACATTTGGCAATCAACAATGTCATCTTTAATCTGTTGTATACAAAATAAATTTCAGCATCCTTTGTGTCAACGACTTTTGAAATTACAACCTCTATTGAAATGATTATATCAATAATGGTTGGAATGCATTTCAATAACATATATGGGTTGCAACCACTTTTGAAATCACGAACACTATTGAAATAATTATTTCAGTAGTGGTTGAGAGTACATTTCAATAACAAACGTAGGTTGCAAGCACTTTTGAAACGCAACCACTATTGAGATTTTTATTTCAAAAGCGGTTAAAGGTACATTTTAATAACAAACATAGAATACAATTACTACTGAAATACGACCACTATTGAAATACTTATTTCCATGGAGTTTGAGTGCATTTCAATACAAAACATAGGTTGCAACCACAATTAAAATTATGTTCACTTTTGATTGATTTATTCTATATTGTTTAACGTCCCTCTCAAGAATTTTTCACTCATATGGAGACGTCACCGTATGCCGGTGAAGGGCTTCAAATTTAGACCTTTACTACTAAGGCACTCACAGCCATTGAACAGTGAAGGTTCTTTATGGATAACTGCTAGGGTGGTGCTCAGTTTGACACATGAAAACACAACTAATAGTTGAGGAATTGGAATGGTCATTTATTTAACAAATAAATGACAAAGTATTATGCAAATAAAACATATAAAACAGTAAAAATACAACAAACTAAAAGCACAATACCATAATTCAATAGAGGGAGTTGTGGCTTGATAAACATTACAAAAATGCCACATCCCTAAAAATAGAATATAAAAAAGTCATACACATAGTATTTAGACTAGAATAAATCAAAGTAATGAGACAAGATAATTTGGCAAATTGTATATACAAAAAGTGTCAAAGATTGGGCATCTTCCGCCACCTATCAAACTTGTGGCTTCTACAGTTTGATATGCCCCATCCACCACCCGGCAAAAAAGTACTGGGACTGTAAAGGTAACTTTAATACGTAGATAAACACAACCAATAAACTACGCAATGATCATTAAACCGGGAGCCCCTGTTTCCACGGTTCAATCTAAAGTTCCATTTAAACGAAATAAACCTGAAGCCCCTGCCTTCAAGGTTTAAATTGTGTCTGATATTTGAGTGAAAATTCCCATCGTTGAACCTAAGGCCCCTGTCCTTAAGGTTCAATACCCGCAGTGTCCGGTAAATCATTCGCAGTGTTGAACCTGAAGCCCCTGACTTCAAGATTCGGAAAACGCCCAGTGTCTAAAAAGTATTCACGTTGTTGAACCTGAAGCCCCTGACCTCAAGGTTCATACCGAAGCTGTTCAGAATAGGGATTGTGTTTGGCATAGGACTGTTCCACCTCAGATTTTCATGGTCGGTTTTCTGATGTATTTCGTAAATGCTGAAGATTTCCAGTGGCCCATATTTTGTATTTGAATGCCCGATGAACCCGAGGCTGCCGCTGTCGTGGCTGCTCCAATCCGAAAACTATGGTACTTGGTATTTGGTACTTGTTTATATCTAGACCACAGAATGTCAGGGACAACTTTAAGTGTTCAGTAAAAAACTGACGAGAAACTGGGGAACCATCCATGAATGAAAACAAGGGTTTTGCAGGTGAACTGTGACCTCTAATGTTCATGAAAGCTTGTAGAACTAAGAAGGGGCATAAGAATGGGTTGGTCATGTTTTGCTGAATATGCAGAGTGGTAGACTGATTAGAATGTTTGAAGTGAGGGATTGTAAGGTTTATGGAATTGCCTTTAACAGAATCTTTTTGGAAAGTAACATGCTCAGCTAACAGATAGTGCTGCTTGGCGCCTGCTGTTTTTGTGATTTCTCCCACCCTTAGGAAGGCACAAAATGCCAGAACAAACATAGCGTGAAGTAGTGTGCTGTTAAAGGCACAAGTAGTTATGGATGGTAGAGCAGCTACAACTTTTGACAAAATGTCTGGTGTTATAGGTAATCTATTGTCAATAGATGGCTTAACCTTGCTAAATCCTTGTAATTGTTTTTTGATCAGAAGGCTTTGTGTAAGGTCTTGATAGCCTCCGAGTTGAAAGGTAAAGCTTAGTGCAGCTATGTGTGTGCGGGTTGTTGAAGCAGCGAAGCCTAACTGGTAGCAATGCGCAATATAAAGTAACAAATGAGAAAGCGATGGTGGCAGGGGATCTGCATTTCTATCAACATGGGTATGAATGAAACGTTTGTAAGTTGCAAATATGTTCTTATAGGATGACAAAGAGTCTTCTGAGAGGGAGTTCCTAATAAGAAAGTCTGCTGTTCTGGTCAGAGGTGTAGGAGTGTGTGCGGAACCATCGTTTCTTCCATATCCATGTTGGGAAAGAGTTCCTTGAATCTTTGTATCTACAAGCGAGAGAGAAGATCAGGTGCAATATTATGAAGACTGGGATATGTTCAGCATGGAAATGAATGTTGAATTTTAAAGATGATACGATAAGACGTCTGTTTAATTTCATCAAATTGGAATCCTTGGAGGAGGTTTTGTTTATAACATGAACCACCGCACTGTTGTCTGAGTTTAATACAACTGATGTGTTTGAGAGCCCCTCACCCCACATTTCCATTGCGAGGACAATAGGAAAAAATTCTCTTACTGAAATATGCTATTCTAGCCACTGTTGCTGAAAGGGGCCGTAAAACCATTTCCTGCCAAAAGTACACCCGAATCATAAATTGCTAGCGTCCTTTTATAGGGCAATTAAACGTGAACTCGATGAGAGCAATGAAGCGTTAAACGATTTACACAATCGATTTGAGGAGAATGAAAACATGGCTAAAGCCGCTTTCGCTAAGGCTAACCAAAACGAGCAATATTCACGAAAATACAATGTTAAATTCCATGGTCTCCCCGAAACCGAAGGAGAAAATCCCCTGGAAATTGTCAATAACGCACTAGCAGAAGTAGGGGTGGAAATTCAAGGCAGTGATGTTGTGGCCATTCACCGAATCCCCGGAAAGCCGGACGAACACAAACCCTTAATTGTAAAATTTCTCAACATTGACTCAAAAATCCGTGTCATGAGAAAGAGATCAGACATAAAAGAATTAAAAAAGGGTTGGAAGGTGACTGATGATGTAACAAAGGCAAACGTTGATCTTATAATCGAACTGACCAAGGATCCCCGGATAAAATCAGCCTGGTATTTTAATGGCTCGATCTACGGACAATATGGAACCAAACGCGTGAAGTTTGACATTTTTGACAATATCGAACGCAAACTGAAAAACAAGTAACTTTTCTTTTCGGAAACTCTTTGGTCCAATTGGTATCTATTTGACATTTACAAAGATGAGGTGTACTTCCGGTGTTGAGAAGGTAAACAAAACTTGTTGTTGAACTCTGTCTCGTGCCGTTCAAGGGTCACAAGGAACTAAACTTTTTTTCTCATACTTTTTTGTTTATTTTTTTCTAGTTATGTTGTGTGAAAGTTTGTCAATGTGTGTGTGTGTGTGTGTGCATGTACTTACCTGTGTCAATCTACCTACGGAAGGGGTGTGCCCAAAATTTATTGCAACAATACAGAGCTGGAACAATCTTTTTTCTTTTCTAAACCAGTATGAGTTTCAGTGTACTTTCTTTTAATTGTAGGGGGATTGGAGGTATAGAAAAAAGAAGGGATGTATTAAATTATATTAAGCAAAAGAATTTCTCGGTATGTTTACTTCAAGATACTCATTTAACTAATGATGATTATCAACAAGTGAGGTCTTTCTGGGGCTTTGATGTATATTTTTCACCAGGAAAATCAAATGCTAGGGGCACTGCAATACTATTTAATAACAATTTTGAATATAATATTCACAAGCAATACAATGATGATGATGGGAATCTCCTTATACTTGAAATGAATGTTTTCAACAAGTATGATTTTATGTTAATTAATTTGTATGGTCCAAATAAGGACAGCCCATCTTTTTATGAGTCTTTGTTTGATATAATATCAGAATTTAATGGTGAATTTGTTATTATGGCAGGGGACTTTAATCTGATACAAGATAAAAATTTAGACTGCTATAACTATAACAATGTAAACTAGACCTTATTTTTGTCGTTCAACAAAAACGGAGGGCTTTTCGACCCCTTAAAAAGAAGAGTCTTACATTACACAGTAAAAATAAATATCAAATAATACAATATCGCACAAAGTTCTTTTGAGATCAATTCTGAAAGGAAAACATAACAATTCTCTTTGTCCACCAGTGTCTACTCAAAGAGAAATAACTCTTTCATAAATTATTAAAAACATACGAAAATATACTAATTTTCAATCCAATTAAACTCCTATAAGGAGTCCAGAAGTGACCCCACGGCCTGTAATTTTTTAACTGTACTCCTTATGCTTAATGCAAAACCAGAATTAGTTTGAAAATTGGTTGAGAAATAAAAAAAAAAAGTTAAAGAGAAAAAGCTGTTTTCTGTACTTACCCATAAAGTCCCTTCCATTTAAGGGATTTTATTTCCATGAACTTACAAACTGTAGACAATGATTGAGTCATTATTCATGTGAAATATCACGAGAATTGCTTACTTCCTTTTTGAGATATGGGACATTGTATGATTTCATATTTAACATAGAAATCTCCATAGACAATTTTAAGGGACTCATAAAACCGGAAGTACTCTTCATAAACATACCAAAATTGAAACATAGAGGAAATATTAGGTTCCAGAAAGGTGGACAATGGGAGATAAGTGTTGCACAATTATTTTTGATACTACTGAAAAATACAATATTTCAGATCTCTAAAAGTCCTATAAGGGATCAAAAAGTGACCCCACGGACCAAACTTTTTTAAAAGTCCTTCTTTTGCTTTACTCAAAACCGAAATAAATTTGAAGATATGGGGCGAAATAAAAAAGTTACAGTCAAAAAACTGTTTTTCTATTCTGGCCCCTAAAATCCCTTTTATTTTTGGGAACTTTGTTTTCATGACCAAACCCCTTAAAGATAGTACAATATACAGTTATTGACTGGGTATGAGGGCAACATATGATTTGTTGGACCTGAAGGTGAAAATGTTGCCCGAGGCCGCAGGCCAAGGGCAACATTTTCATCTTCAGGTCCAACAAATCATATGTTGCCCGAATCCCAGTCTATAACTGTTTTGTTATACCCTTCACTGTTCACTTAAGATTGATCAATTTTATCAATACACGCTATACTATTAATTATTTTATATGGAAAATTATGGCTTCTTCAGTAATTATAAAACATCAAGATGAGAAAGAACAAAATCAATTATAAATCTATTACCGGTATATCACAAGAATTATTTATCACAAAACATACTCTTCCCTTCTACCTTACCTTGCTGTTAGCAACAACTCTTAATAGCTCTTAACTTCGGCTATTTTCGCGTCGCCGATATTGAACGATGATTATTAATTGTGACGTAACAGACAAGTGACGTTGCGGTCTAACAATTCTTATGTAAGACCGGTCAATAGTGAAATTGTTAGACCGACGTGATAAACATTTCTTTTGTTGGACTTTTTATTAGTAACAAATATATAGAAGGATATTTATAAGGGTATAACAAAAATTATTATTCATGTGAAATATCACAAGAATTGCATGCTGTACTTTTGAAATAAGAAAAACAAACGTGATTTCAAATTTAACATAGAAATCTCCATAGGGAATTTTAAGGATATTATAAAACCGGAAGTACTCTTCATATACATACCAAAATTGAAACATAGAAAGCATATTAGACTGCAAACAGGTTGACAAAGGGAGATAACTCTTGCATCTTTATTTTTAAATTTACTTAAAAATACGTAAATTCAGGTCTCTACAAAACCCATAAGGGATCAAAAAATGACCCCACGGACCATTATTTTTAAATTGCCCTTGTTATGCTTAACTCAAAACGGAAATCAGTTTGAAGATCTATGGACAAAAATAAAAAGTAATAAACAAAAAACTAATTTCTGTACTGACCCCTAAAATCCCTTTTATTTTAAGAAATTTTATTTTCATGACCTAAGCACCGAAAGGCAATGCTAAAGTAGTTTTTCATGTGAAATATTATGAGACTTCCTTGCTTCCCTTTGAAAATAAGGGACATCGTATGATATCAAATTTAACATGGAAATCTCCATAGGCAATTTTAAGGTACTTATAAAACCGAAAGTACTCTACATATCCATACCAAAATTGAAACATAGAGAGCATATTAGTATTCAAATAGATTGCCAAAGGAAGATAACTCTTGCACAATTGAGTTTGAAAATACTTTAAAATACAAAATTTCAGATCTCTAAAACTCCTTTAAGGGGTCAAAAAGTGACCCAACGGAACATATTTTTTAGACTGTCCTTTGTATGCTTAAGTCAAATCTGAAAACTATTTGAAAATTCCTTGAGAAATAAAAAAGTTACAAGCAGAGGTCTGTTTTCAAGGTTGGCCCCTAAAAATCCCCTATTTTCAAAAATTTCAATTTAATAATTTGATGAAGTCACAACAGTTTCAGAGTCATTCTGCATACAAAATATTACAAGAAAATGTTGAACACTTAAGAGATAATGTTCCATGATTAATTTAGCGTGATTTCAAACTAAACATAGAAATCTCCATAGGCAAATTTAAGGCACTCATAAAACCGGAAGTACTTTTCATATGCATACCAAAATTGAAACATAGACAGCATATAAGGTTCCAAACAGGTGGGCAAAGGGAGATAACTCTTCACAGATATTTTCTAAAAGACTTAAAAATGCAATTTTTCAGGTCTCTAAAACTCCTTTAAGGGGTCAAAAAGTGACCCCACGGACCATATTTTTTAGACTGTCCTTTGTATGCTTAAGGTAGAGATTGATAGCTTGTCAACAAAAAAACTACCCATTGAATTTTTCTGAATTTTTTAAATGTTTGTGTTGAGTCCTTGTTCTAAATCATACCAAAAATTCAAGACAGGTCATCGGGCTAGTTTTAGAGAAATTTGACAATTTTAATATAGCCTTCATCAACCACCGAAGAGCTGAAAAAGCAGGGTAAAAAAATATAAGAAAATGATATGAAAAGGGCTGTAAATTTTTTATTGCTTTATCAATTATCATTTGTCTTATATGAATTCAAACATCTGTCTATATGGATTAATATTTGATATCAATCTTAAATTTATCAAGCATTGTAAGCAAAAAACAGAATTACATTTACCAAGATGCATGGTCAAATTAGGTTAAAATATTGCCTATTCATTGCACAAAGTCTCACACTTCTGCTTCCACTGTGAAAAAATTACCCATCAAATTTCTTTTTTTATTGCATATTATAGTTAGCCTACAAGTTTCTTAAATTTTAGAAAAAAATCATACTACATAATGGGGTTTAAATTCA